ATGTACTCCATTTCTTTAATCTCCTCCATCTGCACGTTAGGCAGAACCTGGTGCAAAGTTGGGTACTTCATGTTCTGGATCACCGACGACTTCACAGCATTGATGAAAAGGAAGCCCATGGAGTCGATGTCAGCCCCCGCTCGGCCCTGAACGCCCAAGCAGATGCCAGAGCCCACGTCGATCTTGTACTCGGTCTTGAGCCCCTAGTCCGTCATCTTGGCAAAGAACTCGCGGTTGCGGCTCGTTCTGAACTTGATGGCACCCAGACGCGTGCCGGCCCCATTGCCCCACAGGGAGAGCTGCGACATGAACTCGCCCGACTGGAATTCAAACTGCTGAGCAGAGGAGTCCACGGTGCCGAATTGCTGCCTTCGCCCGTCAGTCAGCCACACCTCCACACCCCTCACTTGCCAGCCTCCAACGCTCACGGAGTATTTCTGCAGCGTGGCCGCATTGCTGATCCCATCAAACGAGAACGCATTTCCACCTTGACCTCCAATGATGTGCAGCGTAAGTGGGTACGACATTATGTCAACCTGGATGGAGACGGAAGGGAAAGCATGTTTCAAGCCAAATATTCCTGCCAAACTATCATTTACAAAAAACAGAATCAGGACTACAGTTCACTAGCAACTGTAGTTCAGTGTACCATTCGTGTCTTAAAATTTGGACATTAAAATACTAAGGAAGGACTGAAAAATAGTGGACACCAAAGTGCACAATAGCCGTTTTACATGCTGCCAAATCATGTTTTAAATCTTTGGCAAGTATCCAAACATAATCCGAGTCAAAATTACTACCGTTTCTAGATTTAAAATTTGTGGAATCAATATTAAAGCAAAAAGTGCGCAACAATGAACTCTGCTGATAAAATTAACAATTAGTCCTTCAAGCACAAGCGTCCGTGCTCATGGAATTGCGGGCATTGTTGGTGGCAGAGTATCAAAACTAAATTCCCATACATTTTTCTCCCAACAACAAACAGCAGGATAGAGTACGGCCCATTCCACAACCCTCGAGCCACTCAGCCACAGTAGACCATCATGCAGTGGGGCAATGCAAGAGGGATGCACGTGTCAAGTTGCAGTAGCACAAATACCTTTTCTTTCCACGAACAATAAAAAGTTCGGATAGACGATCCAGGGACTTGGCTGAAGGCGACCTAAACGGGTCATATGAACAGAAGCAGTTGGGTTAAGGTAGTGTGGGGAAACCAGATTAAACCTATAATCAAAGGCAACCATGTTTGCATATGCAGATCGCCCAGGCAAGAACAATCCTGGCCGAAAAATAAACAGCAGAGGTTTTTTAGAACGCAGGCATAATGCAGTGGTCATTAGGCGTTGCATCACATCAAGGTAGAGACATTTATGACAGCACCGTTTGAAAAGGGGTCAAATTAGACCCTTCTTTAGATTTAAAAAAATTAGGTGGCAGACAAATAAAATTAATTTGAGAATTCCCATTAACTGCGTTTCAAACTTAAAAGGGTTTTCAGCTTCTGCCATACAACCCTCAGATTTCAGGTCAATAAAACAGTAGTGCGGCCCTATGCTACAAATCCATTTTTACAGGATTCAGCCAGAATTTTGGCAGGTGAGACTTTGAAAAAGGTACAGAACAGACATGGTTTAAAAAATATTACGGGGAGATCAACCCGGCTAATACATTGTTCAAACAACAAGCCCATTGTTGATGTTAAGGGAAATTTTAGGTAAATAAGCTAATGCATGCTTTTATTTGCAGTATAAAACTTGACCAAAATTATTCAAAATTTGGTGTCTTTAACGAGTGGTTGGCTTGCATCAAAATGTCGAAATGGCAGGTTACGTGGATTGTTAAAACGCAATAAGGAGCAAAATGTACGGGACCTGGACAGGCTTTCTTAAGGAAATATTGGATTGTCATGCGCGGTGAGTGCGTGTAGAAAGCGTCAGCTCGTTCGGCTTAGTACCTCCGAAGACATTAATCCTCAAAGTTAAAAAAGAAAACTGACCACGCAGAAAGTTAAATACAAGTATGGAAAAAAAGACAACCAACATGCACCCAACATGGTCTGGAAAGGGGCACAACAGCAAGCCCGGCAATGTAGCCCACCCCTCTCACCACTTACAGAAGCAGTCAACCCCGTGAAGAGCAGATGCGGTGTGCCGTCTGCTCCCTCCTTTATATCGAGGGAGCGCACGTCACGTGGAACAATCACGCGGGTTTGCCTTCCCATCCCTGGCCAATCATGGGGGTCGGAGAGAGAAGGCAATCATCGCGAATCAATCAGTATGATGAGTCACTAATTGGATAGGTGGCGCTTCCTGCACTCGTTCCTATTTTGCGTGAGACTCCGTTAACGAGCCCAGCCACGCGCGCTCGGGCTTCATAGACGCAATCACGACCCCCAAAGTGAGTATGTTGAGAGTCCATTGAGGGAGCTCACATCACGTGACAGAATTACGCGCGCGTGCCTCCGCCCATCTTCCCCTGCAGGCCAATCATCGGGAGCCAATCACGGCGAAGATTCGCTCATTGCACGCGCGCCCATTGTGCGAGGCGCCGTTCATGAGCCAAGCTACTGGCACGCGCCTCGTTAATGCAATCACGGTCCCGATACCCGGCCGTGAGTCGATTAAGTTGTGCACTCAAGTGATTAAAACGGTTTTTTTTTCTCTTTGACATGGTCCACACGAAAACGTTCAAATTAGCCTCGCTACCATCACCATCTGTAATTCATGTTGTTAAACAGGACCCTGCGGGGTGGGCTGGTAGGAACGAATAACCAAAGAATATAAACATAATGTATTATTACACTTGTTTAGCCAGGAAAGCCCCACTGAGTCTAACGGTTTTTGTAGGGTCCTGCCAAGTGTTTGCAGTAGGGGGCGATGTTGCTACACCGAATCGGACGATACGAAGAGAGAGTTTGAGGCCTAGTTCTAGGCTTTAGGCCTAGCTGTAGGCTTTAGGCCGCCGTGAGTTAATTTCAAATTTAAATGTTTTTATTATTTATGTAAAAGCTTTAAATTTAAATGTTTCTATTTAAAAGCATCAGGGAATGTAACATTGTTAAACATTAACTCCTTTGCACACACGCGGGGGTACGATACGAAGGGAGAGTTTGAGTCGTAGTTTGAGGGTTTAGGCCTAGCTGTAGGCTTTAGGGCGCTGTGAGTTAAATTTGAATTTAAAAGTTTTAATTAAAAGCTATCTCAGGGAATTATAAGAGAATGTTACACTTGTTTAGCCAGGAAAGCCTCATTAATTTAAATGTTTTAATTAAAATCTATCTGAGGGAATTATAAGGGAATGTTACACTTGTTTAGCCAGAAAAGCGTCACTGAGTCTAAAGGTTTTTGTAGGGTCATGCCAAGTGTTTGCAGTAGGGGGCGATGTTGCTACACGGACGGACGGACGGACAATATAATCTATTGTAGGCTGGTCCACTTCGTTCCTACCAGTATAAGTGCCTTATCGATTGAACTGAACGTGCCTCTGGATATTTAGTTTTTACTCATTTGTTCAATTGTGGAATACAGTACTTTGAATTGTCTGTTGGCCGGGTCTCCCTTGAACACGTTCCTTCGGAGTGGGCAGGTCAGAACTTGGTTAGACAGCGCATTCGTGCGATCCATGTCACGCGACAAACGCTGCGTGGGGCGGTGCGTCACGTGGTGCTGAGCCCGCCCGAAGCGCTCTATGAAATACAAATCGAGGGCGTGGCTATGCACAACAGACAGACAACTAATCCCTGGTGGGCAGTGTGGGACTGTTGTTCCTACCTGTAAAAATGCATTTCTATAAGGGAACTCCGTAGTTAAATTAAAGATCCTAAATTGTAAAATTTAGTCACTCATGGTTCATAGTCGGACAATGGCGAAAAGAAGCATGACGTCATTTTCTGGGTACGAAGAACTAAAATTTCATGGAGGAATAATTAATCATGGAGGACGTGTTGGCTATTGTACGCTTGCCGAATGACGTATATTTAGTAGGTACTCCATGATTCATTATCCCTCCATGCTCAAAAAATGACTGATATCGTTGTATCCAAAAACTTATCTCTCTATATTATCATAAATGTTATAGTAACATAATAATAGTATAAAAATAAAATTCTGATATTTAAAATATTATTTAATAAACAATTGCGTGCTTTAAAATTCTGTCGATTTTTATGACAGGAATAATAGTACTTATCAAGCGTTTTAATATAACGACTGCATTCACATTTTATTTGCACTTCCTCTTCCTGACGAAGTATTTTTCTCTATAAAGGTGTGACGTAGTTTTACTTCCGGTTCTTAAGCTTAACATAATATAATCTATACTAAAAATAAAAGGTGACCTTAATATATTTAGATAATAATAAAAATTATAATGAATATTAATCAAAATTAGTGTTGTTATAACAATTCTACTTAATTAGCGTTCACGCAGCCCCCCCCTTCCCCTGCCACACCCCCACCCCCTCTCTCCCCCTTTGCCTCCCCCCTTTCTTACCTATATAACCTCTTGCCACGGCAGCTCTCTCGCCTACTTCAGCATTTTTCTTGCTGTGGTTGTTCCACCTGATGAAGATTGCTTGTGCGCATTTTCATGTGACGTCACATTTCTCAAACCTCCCCCCCCCCCTCGTCACATATCGTCACAAATGTCTGACCCCCCTCCCCCCCCTAGGTGCGTGATGTCATTTATGGACGGCCCCAAAGGATATCATATTAGAATATGTCCCACACACATGGAGGATTACAAAAATCATGACTCGTCTTTGACACCTCAGGTGGTACCAATAAGTGACGGGGTCTCGGCGTGGGCGGGGTCTCGGTGTGGGCGGGGTCTCGGCGTGGGCGGGGTCTCGGTGTGGGCGGGGTCTTGGTGTGGGCGGGGTCTCGGTGTGGGCGGGGTCTCAACGTGGGCGGGGTCTCCGTGTGGGCGGGGTCTCGGTGTGGGCGGGGTCTCGGTGTGGGCGGGGTCTCCGCCGGTCTCCGCGTGGGCACGTGACGAGGGGGGGGGCGCGAGATGCGAAGCGGCATTTTGGCGCGAAAACTGCGAGGGGGAACGCAGCGCGCCATAGGCTCCTGTTGAGAGAAAGGCCGGGAGAGGAGAGATTGTGGGTGAAGTTGTTGTTGTTCAGGAGCCATGGCCACGACTCCCATCCACGCCGCGTCTCCATTCAAAGTGAAGGGGCAGATCCAGGTGACATACACATCCACACCTCTCACTCACTGACACTCTCACGCTGACTCTCACGCAGTCACTGACTCGTGATTCTCACACTCTCACACTGTTATTGATTATCACGAGTGATTCTCACACTCTCACTGATGCTCACACTCTCACTGTGACTCTAAATCTCACACTGATTCTCAATCTCACGCTCTTAACTCTCACACTCTCACGCTCTGACTCTCCCCGTGAGGCTGTGTGAGCACCGCGAGTGGAGTCGTCTCAAGCCCAAACCCGTAATTGACACACACTCATATGTTCACTCTCACAGTCAACACGGCTAACATCAGTGGTGAGTGACATCTGAACTCATCTATCACCGCCCCATCCCTCCATCCAACCTGGACTGACCAGCGTGAAGTATGGTCAAAGACCTCCCGTGACCCATGTAGGTCTGGGGAGGCCTTCATCCAGCAGTGGATTAACAGGACCCAACACATTCTTATTGACTTTGCAACGAGATAAGTGGAGATCTGTCCACCTCGTGTCCTGCATCGCACCACTTCCCATGTTTGTTTGTTGTAGTACAGAGTTAGACTGATGGCCTTAATCTAAGCTGTCTTGTGGTTGTTGTTGTTTGACTTGCATCCCACTGAGATTTTTGCACACAGCGTTGGTGTACGGTGTTTTTTCTGCAATATTTTTGCTGTCTTTTCTTGAATTTTCTGTTTGCACTTAGTCACATATTCACTTTAAGATGTTTTTTGTTCATGTTTTTGTTTGTTGCGGTTGCACCCGATTCAAGAGCTGAATGGCTCACAGGGCTATACCTAATAAATGAACTTGAACTTGATCCAGAACACTTTGTATCCCTGGTCATGAGTGAACTTAACCACAGGCAATCTATCCACCTAGCCTAGGACTTCATGAAGAGAATGATAATCTTTAATTAGACTGGAATAATCCAATGAGCTATTAAGCTTTTTTCACAGATGTCCAGTAGTGTCGGGTCAGAAAGTAAAAAAAAACGCATCGTCACTCGATCATACATAATAGTAACAGTAGTTTGCCATCATCATCAGCCAAAATCCATCATTAGTCATAGTCTCATATAGTTCATCATCAGCCAGAATCCATCATCCGTCAATCTCATAAAGTTCATCATCGGCCAGAATCCATCATCAATGCATATATTATCAGAGTATGTTTTTTGTTTGCATTTTGACCACAAGTATTGTGGTTAATGCAGACATGATTTCTTGTAAAATGTTTCAGTTTGGTGTTTTAACAATTTAACACCTGATTTGTTGCCAGATAAAAGGGGAAAACATATTCTCATCAGTCATAGTCTCATATAGTTTACCATCAGCCACAATCCATCATCAGTCATAGTTCTAGATTTGAAGTTTTTGTGACTGCAAGGATTCATACTCTTTTGTTTTTTCGGTAAAGTCACGTAAGTAAAAAATAAAATAAATTAAAACAAATAAAATAAATCACGACGTTTCGGAAACAACACAAGCAACCATGATCAGGTGTGACTACGCTTCAGTAATTTTGCTGGAACAGTCACACCTGATGATGGTTGCTTGTGTTGCTTCCGAAACGTCGTGAATTAATTTCTTTGTTTTCATTTTATTTTTTACCTACGTGACTTTACCGAAAAAAACAAAGAGTATCAGTCATAGTCTCATGTAATTCACCATCATCAGCCACAATCCATCATCAGTCATAGCATTCATCATCAGGTGAGTCTTCACGATTCGGCGATGCGATTTGGCCCGCAACGCGATTGAATCATCCTGCATGACGCTGTCTTCGGCTGCAAAAGCCACCGGGTTAGGAAGTTAGAACCCTGATCAGTAACACCGAGACTCAACAGCTAATTCAGTTTACATGACGGCCGGTCACTCACTCACATTACTGGTAACCTATTGTGTATTATGCTGGCCGATGAACGGGACTGCATCAGTGTGCTAACACGCAGCGTGCTGTGCCCTGCAGGTCATCTTCGGGCCCATGTTCTCTGGCAAAAGGTAACCCCAGCACATTCTCGACACAAACTGCGCTAGCAGATCTTAAACCCAGTTAGGCCAATACTCATCAACACGGCCCTGGCCTCGGTGCTGTTAGGATGATCTCTTTCACATGGCATTAGGGATGCAGGCTAGCTATAGATATTTCATCTGGTGGCTTTTGACTCTGAAACTTTAGCGCCCATATTGGATTTTATTTCGTACTTTTGTATTTAAGTGGATTACGTTTTAATCACATTGGGTGGCCGGGTGGTGACGGAGTGGTTGATATATATTCGCGCCTCAGCAAAAATCTGACTAATACAAACTCCACACAGAAGGTAAGTTGCCTTCTGTGTGGAGTTTGTACGTTCTCCCCCTGTTATGCATGGGTTTCCTCTGGCTTTTCTCTAGTTTCTCATGTAGCTAAACACACACACAGAATGTCATTGATATTGGCCAGTTATCACAGTGTAGCAGGATTCTCCTGAAAAAAATTTCTTCAGGCTGAGTGTGGCTTCCTGGGAAATAAACTTTCATTGTTTATGCTCTGTAATAATGTTAATCGGTGAATTTTATATATTATAACGTTCCAACAGTAAAACAAACACTCGAATTGAAGATGTTTTATGTGTTCAACTAAATACTGTTTGCTTTTGTAACTGGACTGGATTTGTCTTTTATTAATCTACACATGGGGACACAACCCTCATGGGCAACAACCACCACACCAACAGCCACAGCCGCCATTCACCACTACGTGGTGGCCATGGAACTAGTGCCAGGCTAAGTGCACGTTGTGGTATCATGTCAAATGTGGAAGGCTCGCTGCCTGCAGGAGGTCACGGGACAGACCTAGGTGTTATGCGATTCCACTGAACTCCACATCCTTTTACCGCATTAAACCCACCTCTCCTCCAGCCTGTCCCATGCCCGTTTATAGCGCCCTCTAGCCAGCCAAATAGAAGCTGCTTTAGCATGTGGTGGCTGGGCATGCGTGCTACATGACCCAGCCAACGCATCCTTGCCTGCTGCAGAAGCTCACTGATGGATGGAGCTCTATCCATATCTTTCAAGGATCTCACACAATCCAGTCTGGTTATAAACCCAGGATGACTTGCAGGCAGGCCAGCCTACATATTTCAAACTGGCGAAGATGTTCCTTCAAAGTGGCACACATTTTGCAAGTATACAGAAGGAAGGGCATCACTGGCTGAGAAGACCCGGTACAATTTAGTAAGAATGTGTATGAATATCATGTATTAGTGTCAGAAATGCATTCAAAGTCAGAGTGATTTCATGCTCAAATGAACATTGATGTTGCCGTGGTCTGTGATGCTGTAATGCTGCTATACTGCTTTGATGTTGCTGCTAATGTTGCTACTGTGGTGCTGCTGCTGTGATGATTTCCCGCAGCACGGAGTTGTTGAGACGTGTGCGCCGTTTCCGTGTCACACGGCACGAGTGCCTCCTCATCAAATACGCACGTGACACGCGCTACTCGGAGAGTGGGCTTGCCACACACGACCAGTACGTACATACACACGCACCACACACGCTATAACAGCAGGCTCGCCACGCACGACCAATACGTGCACACACATTATATACACTCTACACACTCACTACACACACACCAAACCACACATGCTACTTATAAGTGGTTTGTAGAGCCAAGAACTCACTGCTCTAGTCTGTGCCCTGTGTCTTTGTGTATGTCTTTGTCTCTCACTCTGTGTGTCTGCCTCTGTATATCTTTCTTTATTTGTCTGTGTGTGCGTTTGTCTCTCTCTGTGTTTCTGTATCTGATGTTCTCTGTGTGTCTATGTGTGTCTCTGTGTCTGATTCTGTGTATTTGTCTGTCTCATTCTGTGTTTGTGTAGGTATGAGATGGCAGCCGTCCCAGCGTCATGTCTGTACGACATTCATTCCCTCGCACTACCCTGCTCCGTCATTGGCATTGATGAGGGCCAGTTCGTGAGTAACACACACTGCGACACAGAGACCAAGATCCCCCGTGTAGTCTACGCTGGCTTTTGGGACAAGTTCTGTTAGTGGGAACCTATTAAGGCTGGCATGGCATAAAAGGGGGAGAGTGGCTAGCACTACACCTGACCGCCTTTATCTCCCTGGTGACGATGTCTACACACCGCACCAGGTTCTCTTATAAGGCTTAATCTGCCTAGGGGAGGCCCAGTACCATTTCAAATATTTGCTGCTGATGTTTGCCGTGAGCAGGAATTGAACTCGGGTTGCTGGGTTAATTGCACAATGCGCTGTCCCATGCGCCACCCCTTCACTCCCGTGGGCCTGTGTGGTACAAAAGACAAAGATGCCTCGTAGCCTTCACAGGTGTTGGGGCAAGTGCTGTTAGTGAGCACCTATGAAGGACGGCACAGTACATGGGGAGGTCGGTGGCCAGCACCACGTCCGGCCGCCTTTGTCTCCCCAGTGGCGATGTTTTCCCACACCGCACCAAGTACTCATTTGGGGCTGAGTCGACCTAGGGGATGCCCAGGACCGATTCAGATATTCGTCCCCGATGTTGGCTGCGAGTGGGAATCGAATTCAGGTCACCGTGTTCGCAGCACAACGTGCTAACCACTGCTGCATTGCTCCCCACTCCGTGTGGTATACACATACATATATACACATATAAAAGACAAAGAACCACCATATAGCTTGAACAGACTGTTGGGGCAAGTGCCGTTGCGGCGCACCTATGAAGGCCGGCACGGCACGCGAGGGGGTGGGTGGCCAACACCATGCCCAGCTGCCTTTAATTTTCCAGTGGTGATGTTTACACACCACACAAGGTACTCATTTGAGGCTGATTCGACCTTGGGGAGGCCCATGACCAGTTCAGATAATATCGTCACTGGTTTTGGCAATGAGCAGGAATCGAATTTGGGTCGCCGGCTTCGTAGCGCAGCGTGCTAACCCTACACTACTGCTCCCCACATATACACACGTGCACACACACAATTACTGTATTTTCCCGCATATAACCCAGGGGGTATACCACTTTTTACAAACAAAACAAACCTTGCGGGGTATATGGAGGTGCGGGCTATCCCAAACATATTTTACACGTGTGACATGTCATAACTCGTTAAACGTTTTCATGGTAGGACTATCTACTATGCAACACTAAAGCACTGCTGAATAAACCACTCACACTAAAATTGCACATGTTATCACGGTTTAAATTATTCTAATTGTTTGTACAATAAAACGACAATGTATGAAGTGGGCGCACTTTGTTTACCATAATACTTTCAGTGGCTGTAGGGGGGTGCGAAAGTTGCAGCTGAGGCTATGGATTGCACAATGGGAAGGGCCTTAACAAGCATCTACCAGACACGGAATCCTTATTGCTGAGTCCCTTAGGCCGCTGCTATTGGCTGAGCACTATACAGTCGCGACCATGAGCTTTGTTTCAAACTTCCAATAGCTTTGTTGCCAGGAGACAATGACGTTACCGTAGTGCCGCTATTGTCTGCGCAGTGCGCAATCTACCAGTGCTAAAACTACAGGGGTATTTACCGGTCCAGTAGCTATAATATGATGAGGTCGAATGCTGGTAAGCCTAACAGTACGCTTACTTACGGTACTTATCTACCAGTTATGTGTTACTTATTTATTGGATATTTACTTTTTTTACTTATTTACTGTTTTAAGTTCACTCGTTTCCGGTTAGTTTGTTTTCTTTGTGCACATGATTTTAATGTTAACAATTTATAGTGGCATCTATTACAAATGTAAACTTTGTATTAATATGATGGAATTAAGCTGCGGTAACAACGTTAAAGATATGAATGCATGCGGGGTATATGGAGGTGCGGGCTATCTGAAATTTGTTTTACACAAAAACTATTTTTGTGGGGTGTATGCGGGAAAATACGGTACACACAAGGCTCCATGAGTCTGCCACACTATGGACATTATGGTAACGGGACAGCACGGTAACAAGACACAGGCCGACACAGTTAACACGCAGCACATGCTACTGCCATGCCGTGATGGTAAGTAGTGCACTGCGATCTAGAGGTCACCGTGTTCGATCTCCCAGCATGGGAGTCGACTTTGCTGCCCTGATCGATTGGCGAGCCCTGGTTTGTACGCCTCACAAGCGAGAGAGAGTTCTGACACGTGCCGTGCCATTCCACAGTTCCCAGACTGCGTGCAGTTCTGCGAGGAGATGGCGAACTTGGGAAAGACTGTCATCGTTGCGGCCCTCGATGGAACATTTCAGCGCAAGGTTTGTGCCCCCGCTCCCCGGTTTTAAAAATTCTCAAACATCCAGAATTCAACTTTTAAGTTTTTACTGATTAGCAAACACCGAGCAGCAAACACCGAGCAGCAAACACCGCAATTAACTCGGCCTGTGTAGGCTCCACGGGGCGGTGTGCGTGTGTGTGCGCGGTGCCTTGCTGGCCTTCATAGGTGGTCGCTAACAGCACTTGCCCCAATAGTTTCTTAAAGGCTATACGGGGGAACTTTTTTTGTCTTTGTGTCTGTGTGAGGCAGGCGTTTGGAGATGTTCTGGCGCTGGTACCACTTGCAGAGAGTGTGGTGAAGCTCAGCGCTGTTTGCATGCGCTGCTACAAGGAGGCGGCCTACACCAAGCGCCTGGGCTCTGAGACACAGGCAACGCTCTCAGATCCTTCACTGTGCTCTTCCTTCACTCCCCTTTACCGTGCAACGGATGTGCTTGTGATTGGGTATCCTGTGTGCATGTGCGTTGAGAGGGAGTGTGTGAGTGTGGGGAGCAGTAGTGTAATGGTTCATGCACTGCACTACGAACCCGGCAAGCAAACACCATTGGCAATTATCTGTACTGGTTCTGAGCATCCCTGAGGTTGACTCAACATCAAGATGAGTACCTGGTGTGATGGGTAAATATTGCCAATAGGGAGATAAAGACGGCCGGTCGTGGTGTTGGCCATCCACCCCCTTCATGTGCCGTGCCAGCTTTCATAGGTGCTCACGAAGAGCACTTTTCTCAGCAGTCGGTTAAAAAGGATGCATGGGGGATCTTTGTGTGAGGTGTGATACAGGGAGAGTGTGCGTGAGCGTAGTGATTAGCACACGGTGCTATGTAAACCGGTGACCCGAGTTCGATTTCTGCTCACAGCCAACGTCGGTAACATATACAGTAAAACCTTGGATTGCGAGCATAATTTGTTCTGGAAACGTGTTTTTAATCCAAAGCACTCGTATATCAGTTGTGATCACGTGACACTCAGCAGACAAAGCGTATACATACTACTCGTATTGCAAGACCTTGCTCGTTTATCAAATTCATATTTCTTTAAAAAATTTGCTCGTCTTGCAAAACACTCGCAGACCAAGTTACTCGCAATCCAAGGTTTTACTATATCTGAACCGGTCCTGGGCCTCCCCTAGGTCGACTCGGCCTCATATGAGTACCTGGTGCAGTGTGTACAACATCAGCAGTGGGGAGGCAAAGCTGGCTGGGCGTGGTTACGGCCACGCCACCTTCTTCTGTGCTGCACCGACCTTAATAGGTGATAACTAACAACACCGGTGGACTCTTTTTGCGCAGGTGGAGGTGATAGGAGGAGCGGACAAGTACATGTCCCTGTGCAGACTCTGCTACTTCCACTCGGAGCAGGAGGCGCTCCTGTCAGAGCTCCCGGCTGAGAACGAGACTCCGCTCGGCGCCACCGCGCAGGCGGCACTGTCATCACGCATCCCGGCTCGGCAGCTCTTCCCCCTGCAGCCTCACAACTCGTAGCGGTGCCACGCCAGTCTCCAGAGGGGAGCGCCTGCCGTCTTTGTCGCGCAGTACGAACGGCACTCCTCAGAAGGAGGCAGACATTGACCATTTTATATCTGCCACTCGTACCTGATTTTTTACTTGAGGCCATGTAATGATCTGGCCACATTTGTGTGTCATTAAGAAATCGGTAATTGTCATGTGGTGCACGAGCATTTAACGACGTGCCAGTTATTATTGTTTTGGCTCAACTCGCCGGTAAGCCGATAAACCAATAAACAATTCTCTCAACCAAGCATCTTTACGACGAGATCCAGAAAATCAGTCAGAATCACTTCCTGGATCTTTATTCTGAATTCCTGGCACTTGTCCTGAATACTTAATGCAGTTTCAAGTGAAACGTAATTTCTTATCTAATCGCTGTTAAATCTGGCTGTGAGAATAGTTTTCTAACTCACCGGTAAGTGAGCTGAAACAAAAGGTGTGTCGTTAAACGCTTGCATGCTGTGAAATGAATTTGTTTGGCTGTGTCGGGTGGTGAAGGGTTTCACTGCATGGCCTAATCCAAAAATCAATGATGATTTCTAACAGTCTGCAATAAATAGAAATTGTTGAGGCTGTATATCAATTGTGGGAATGCCAGCACACCGCGCTGGCACTTACAACACCAAAGACGTGCACCGGCACTATTCCTATTTCTGTGCTTTGATGTTAGTGCAGATGGGAAAAGGGCAGTGAGAGTCTGAGTGTGTGCGACGTTACTTTTGTGAGTGCGAGTTTATTAGATGTGCGAGCGTTGCGTGAGTGTGCGAGTCTGAGTATCGGTGTGGGATGCGGTACATTCGGGTGGAATATTAGCACTCGTATATTGACGCAACGTGCTATATTGTATTACTAAATATGGACAATGACGAACATTGTCGTTTTAAAAAGAATAAACAAACTACTTTGACCTGCATCTAGAAGCCGTCTCTCTGGATTGCTATTGGATTGAGTGTGTGAGGTTTTTTGGTGTTCCAGTGCCACTCCACGTTCGGTGTGTAGCTCCACACTCGACATCACTGGTTTGTCTTCGATTGCCATTCATGATGGAGATGTGCACATCAGCCTCTTGATGTTCTGATCACTCCAGTGTCTGAGGAGGAATGTCAAAACCAGGAGCTGTGATGCTTGTCTCGAATGAGGAGGTGTTTATATTTCGATTTAAAGCTTTCGTGACTGCAGGGATTCATCTTCTTGGTTCTTTCGGTAAAGTCACATAGAAGGGAAGTAATAAAATAATAAAAATAAAACATAATAAAATAATTCTCACGACGTTTCGGCCACAACGCAAGCAGCCGTCAGGTGAAGAATGAAACACCACCAAGCTTGGAGCGTATATTTAAGCTGGGTTGGGGGGGGGAGGTGGGAAGAAGAGCGCCTAGACAAAATAATTTGCATATCAAGAGGAATTTAGCATATGGAAAATGCGTAGGGGGTGGGCGGGGGGGTTTCAAATTAATATGCCCGTGAATTATGCAGGATTAGCAGCATCAAAGGGAGGGGGAAGGGGGGTAGCATTAACAAAGGAAAGGAATGTTAATAGTATGTAGCTGCAGTTGCTAAACAACCACGTAAAAAACTAAAGTATAAACTACAAACAACTAAAGTATAAACTACATAGCATCATCAGTATACTTACTATACTCTACAATAAGCTGAGTTACTAACAGTAAGTAATACATTACAATTCTACGTCGTAAAAATTATATAATATGCTTCCATCTAAACTTTGTTCTCTTACATCACACGAGTCTACACCGTACTATATACTGCCATAGACAAAACCCAACATTAAATTATATACTGTATTGCTATGTTGGGTTTGTCTACATAGCAATACAGTATATAATTTAATGTTGGGTTTGTCTATGGCAGTATATAGTACGGTGTAGACTCGTGTGATGTAAGAGAACAAAGTTTAGATGGAAGCATATATCATTTTTACGACGTAGAATTGTAATGTATTACTGTTAGTAACTCAGCTTATTGTAGAGTATAGTAAGTATACTGATGATGCTATGTAGTTTATACTTTAGTTGTTTATGTAGTTTATACTTTAGTTTTTTACGTGGTTGTTTAGCAACTGCAGCTACATACTATTAACATTCCTTTACTTTGTTAATGCTACCCCCCTTCCCCCTCCCTTTGATGCTGCTAATCCTGCATAATGCACGGGCATAATATTAATTTGAAACCCCCCCGCCCACCTCCTACGCATTTTCCATATGCTAAATTCCTCTTGATATGCAAATTATTTTGTCTAGGCGCTCTTCTTCCCCCCCCCAACCCAGCTTAAATATACGCTCCAAGCTTGGTGGTGTTTCATTCTTCACCTGAGGACGGCTGCTTGCGTTGTGGCCGAAACGTCGTGAGAATTATTTTATTATGTTTTATTTTTATTATTTTATTACTTCCCTTGTACGTGACTTTACCGAAAGAACCAAGAAGAGGTGTTTATACTGCATGTCCGTGTTGTTCCACTGTTTTCAACCATTCTGGATCTGAGTGAGATCCTCGGATGGTGACAGCAGCATGATCCCAGAACGGGGATCTGGGCTTGAGTTGACGGCGGGGTACATGACTGAGGTCTTGTTTGATGAGTAGGTTATTGCAAAAAAGTGTGTAAACTCTACAGTTTGCAAGTCTTCCGATATTTAATGGCAGGATGTTTGCCAGAACAGGGTGCCCAGGGTATTGATTGGTGCCTGGTTGAGAGTTATGGTGCGCATCGCGTTATTCAACTGTGCATCTAGGAGTTTTGTGTGCGAGCTCCTGGACCAGGCTGAGGCACAGTTACTCTGTCACTGAGTAGATCAGTGAGAGGGTGGCAGTTCTCAGAACATCACCTGAGGCTCCCCAGGTCGTTTCTGGCAGACTAATACACGTGGACAGCTGCCACTGCGGGTGCCAGAGGCTCGACCACACAGCAGCCATCGTTTTTTGTATGGCTGATGTCAACGCAGAGCAATAACTACAATTTGACATTCAGGTGGTCAAACCAGATGACTACGTCAGGAGCAGCGGAGTGTATTGTCACTGTGATGTATTTGTGGATTGGACATTTCGTCGTTATGTTGTACAATCTGTTCTGGATGACCACAGTCGGATACTGGAGAGTTTTAATTTCCATTTGTGTATCAGGTATCCGCATCTGCCATGGTTTGTGCATATGCAGTTTAGGGTAGACCGTGATTTTTGTGGAATATAAAACCCAGGGATCTTCTGCGTTGGGTCTTTCACGAGGTGTTTGTGAGTTATTTTGAACTCCATTCAGCTCTCCAAGCTTCATTGGGGTTGAACTCGCATTGTTGAAGGTGACGTGCATGGGTCCAAAAGGGCTTACGGCTTGACTTCAAGCGATAACCGAGGGACGTTATTGAGGTTCTGATGAATGGGAAAGCGACTGCTTTCCTCGATTCGCAGGGCTTCACAGAGGGTTGCAGCGTTTCAGCGGATGAATGGGGGAGAGATTTGTGACGGCACAGGCAGCCAGGGTGTTGGGGTCGATTTGAGGGTTCCAGTGATACACCGCATTGCTTTGTTCAGTTCGACATCAACAAGTCGAGTGTGACTACTTCTGATTTATACTGGTGCACAGTACTCGGCTACAGAGCACACAAGGGCCTCGTTAATGTCCGTTGCACTGTTGCTGATGCTCCCCAGCTTGTGCTTGCCAGTTAACAGACAGCAGCAATCATCGCCCCCTACAGACAAATGCCAACTCGCAGAGGCCTGGTGCCGAGTCACCTTGTGATACATCGGGAAAGCTGCCACTGGGGATGCCATAGGCTAGACCACATCGCCCCCTACTGGCAGATGAGGGCACAGGGACAGGTCGACTGAGGGTGCCCTTTCAGCGTGAAGCGCCCAGCCGTTCTGCCATTCACCATGTCGGCCCTTGTGTCTCCACCGTGGTTGCCATCATAGTCGGGGGGGCTGGCGTCTGTATGTGGGTGGTAGGGGTTGATTTGCACGGAGGGATGGGGGGGGCTGATATAGCAGCAGCTGATTCTCGGGTCTCGCGGTGGAGTCGGGACTCAAAAGAGGAGCCCGGGACCACTGTGCATAGGAGTAGGTGGCAACTCATGTTCTACTGGACATCTGTGGGAAATAAGTATAACCCGTAAAAACAAAGTTTATCACTATAAATCCTTTATATGCGTGGCGGCTAGAGTCCTCTCGTCCTCTGGCTTGAGATGGCTGCCACCTATGGGTCAGATGATTGTCTGCCAGTATTAAGCAATTGGTAATTAAATATTTAATTTGTTTTCCCTAAACAGTGTAAAATTTTGGAAAAAAAAATTTCACGAACATTAATTGTCTCGCACAACGAGTCTGTGTGCAAAATGTCAGCTCGATTGGATCACGGGAAGTGGGTTAAAAAACGAGCGAAAGATTTGCACGGTCGTAAGCAAGCAAGCACGCAAGCACGCAAGTGAACTTAATATAAAGGATTTAAAAAGAGCTTCATAGCTCATCGGATTCTTCCAGTATTTCTAATTATGATCTCGATCTTGCCCGAGCCGTGCGCATGCGCAGTCCCGGCAAGCACCAGGCCGGACCCCCGGCACGTGAATGGGAGCCAAGCCTGGTCACTCGCGGCCGCCGCGTTCTCTCTGCGATGTTTCTGCCCGCTGAATGTTCACTCGGCTCATTTTCAAATTGATTTGCCAGAAGCCGAGAACTCTACTTGTTGCTGAAGTGAGTGACTCTCCATTTTTTTTCATTCCTGTAACGCGGTTTGCTTTTTAGCGCTGATTTGTGTTTTGCTTTTGACGTGGCGAGGACCCCCCCCCCCCCCCCGTAGTCTGGCAAGGAGAGTCCTTGCTCGACTACCAAGCGAGCCTGACTGCTGCTGCTGCTGCAGAGACTGAGTGTTGAGACCGGTCCAGACTTTTTCTGCTGAACCAACGCTGCTTAAAGTTCAGTCCGCAACCCCTAGAAGTGCCGTGTGACTGATGGGGATGTTTCGATTTAAAGCTTTCGTGACTGCAGGTATTCATCTTCTTGGTTCTTTCGGTAAAGTCACGTCTGTCGGACCTGTTCTTCACCTGAGGACGGCTGCTTGTGTTGTGGCCGAAACGTCGTGAGAATTGTATTTTATGTTTTATTTTTATTATTTTATTATTTACCTTCTACGTGACTTTACCGAAAGAACCAAGAAGATGATGGGGATGTGTAAACAAAACGTTCGTTTGTCCATAATATAGGTTCTCTGGGTTACATCTCGTAAATATATAAATGCGTCGTTACACCACATTATCCATGCACATTATTCATGCACATTATGTGAAAGCCTTCGTGGTAAACTGAGTGCGAGGCGGACGGAAACGAAGAGGAGGAGGGGGGGGCGCAAGTCGCCGCGTCTTGAGCCGCATCGCGCCGCCCCCTCCCTGCGCCGCGTTGCGTGGGGCCCCCGGGGTCATTGAGCACGTGGAGACGGACGGCTCCGGAGGTGAGGCGAGACGCGGTCTCAGCTACTGCGGCATCACACCAGACGACAGCCGCAGAGACATAGCGACACAGCCACAGCGACATAGCTACTTCTACACACCAGCTACACAACCACACCAGCTACACAACCACACCTACACAGCAGCTACACCTACACACCAGCTACACAACCACACCTACACAGCAGCTACACACCAGCTACACAGCTGTGCATACAATGTGTGCCTCTCTCTGTGTCTCTGTGAAACGTGGACCACCCTGTGCTGGTTAGAACACATTGAAGCTGGCCTACCTACGATCCATCCTGGGTTTAACCAGCAGGCTGGATTCTGTGAGGAGCTCACAAATCCTTGAAAGATCTGGACACGGTCCCATCAGTGAGCTCCTCCGACAGGCAAGGCCGCGTTCGCTGCCCAGCCACCTAATGCCCCGCTGTGCATACAATATGTTTGAACGGATCGAGGGGGCTAAACGGGCACGACACGGGCTGGAAAAGAGATGGACTGATATGGTACAGGAGGTTGTGGAGCTAAGTGGACTTGCTAATGACTGGTACCAGTGTTTTCAAGATCGGCCTCTGTGGAGGAGGCTCGTGAAGGGCGCTGCTACTGGGCAGTTTGGAGGCAGTCGCCCTCCAGCAGTAACGGAGGGCAGAGGAGCGACGCTCACAACAACGAGCGGAGCGCCTGCGGATAAAACACAGCTAGTTGGCACAGTAGGGGGTACAGCTGCTTGCATCATCTGCCACTCATGTCAGTCAACCCATGGTACCTGGGTCTGTCCCGCGACCTGTCAGCGAGCCTTCGACACTCAAAGTGCACCTGGCCTGACACTAGCGCCGTGGTGGCGTCACCGCCACTAAGTGGTGAATGGCGTTTGTTGTCTCTAACCCATTGAGGAGCGGTGGCGCAGTGTTTGGGCACTGTGATTCGAACCCGCCGACCAGATTGTTATTCCTGCTCACGGCCAACACAAGTGATGAATATCTGAACCGGTCCTGGACCTCCCCTGGTCGACTCAGCCTGAAATGAGTACATGGTGCGGTGTGTAAGGATTAGCATTGGAGGGGTATACAAACATGTGCTGGCCACCCCACCCCCTCGTGTGCTGTACTGTATGTATATATATATGTTTAACTTCTTTCGCACCGTACGTAGCCAAACGTGCTAACCAGAGGTGCTGTGCCGGCCTTCATAGGTGCTCATTAACAGCCCTTGCACCAAACAGCCTGTGAGCTCTGCAAGCGAGGCTGCAATAGACTGGGTTATGTAGCCCGCATGCCCAAGTAGCTTATGTTTGGCTGCATAAATGGGGCTAAGTTGGCACAGCATGGGCTACATAAGAGATGGACCGGTGCGATACAGAAGGACGTGAAGCTGATTTGGATTGTTGAAGACCCAGTGGTGTCGAGATCGGCCTCTGTGGAGGAGGCTCGTGAAGGACACTACTGCGCAGTTGGAGGCAGTCGCCCTCCAACAACCAGAAGACGGTGAAGGAACGACGCTCGCAGAGGAACGACGCTCGCAAAAGCACGCGGAGCGCTGGGCTGATAAAACGTAGCAAGTTGGTACAGTAGGGGGCACAGGTGGTGCATCAGCCGGCCATCTCAGTCAACCTATTGTCACCTGGGTCCCATTAACTGCTAATGAGCCTTCGACACTTCACCTGGCCTCAAAGTGTACCGAGCCTAACACAAATGTCTTGGCGAAATGGCGGATTTTCCATACATATTTTTCCGTGTGCACGTCTGTGTGTACGTCTGTGCGTACACATTTATGGCTCTCTGCGTGTACGTACAGCCGTGTGTATGTGTGTGTACATCATGCGTGTACCGTACAATCTGCGTCTCCCCCCCCCCCCCCTCTCGTGCGGTGTCGGTGAGCCAGGATTTCCTCTCGCAATGGGGCTGCTGTCGCGCGTGGCACTCGGCCTGGTGCGTGGCGCCGACCGCACCTCGCCGTTTACGAGCAAGCGCGGCCCACGAGACTTCTACAAGGGCCGCGGGGCACGCATCGCCGGGCGTCACACGCCCTCGGGGAAGTTCGTGCCGGTGCGGGAGATGATCCCGGAGCTGGTGGTGCCGGACTTGACCGGCTTCACGCTGCGACCTTATGTCTCGTACCGGGCGCCCCCCGGCTCGACGGCACCGCCCACCGCGCAGAGCCTCTTCGATGCCGTGGTGGCTCCTGACATGGAGCGCGACATCAAGGCCGGAGCCTTCGACCCGGACGCGCTCGAAAAGTATGGGTTTGAGCCGTCGCAGAGCGGGAAACTATTCCAGCTCTACCCCAAGAACTTCCCGCGGTGATCTCCCTCCCTGCCTGCCCTGCCCGCGGCTCTCCTTCGTTCCTGCAAAATGAATAAACAAAACGTTTGCCTCCAGTTTAAATTGTCGGTCTTTTATTTTCCATTAACATTGCTGTGTGGATCAGAGAACTGGATCCTAACCAAGCATTACAGAGAGGTTGCTTTACCTGAGCACCGGTGTCGTGAGACGGAACGCTGGGAATTTGGGAATGTTGTAGCGAGGCAGGAGAAGCGATACAGAGGTCCAGAAGAAACGCGAAACAGGAGGTCAACGTTACAGATGTGATCGAGCAGAAGCAGGTACACTGGGTGTGGGCACGTGCAAGGTGGGGCTAATAAATTTGGTTTGTTTGCTGTCGTATCTCAAGTTTTGCTGAGATTTGCTCATGCCAGAAGGATATTTAGAAGGTATTTGCTCTGCTACATGCTGACCAGGCGTGTGTGTGAACAGTCCAATCGACTGTGGTGATGAACCCATTTACTCTGCTGGTTGGATAGAAGCCGTGAAGGGCGATTTGATAAACGTGCAGCTCCACTTGAGCTGCCCTGCCAGGAGATAGAATTGAACCAAATCGGAGGGTGCTGCCCAGTACACCACCAATGTGACAGCTGCCTTTTCTCAAGGTTTAAAATTAGAAGTTTATTTTGTATAAAGAAGTGCGAACTCAAGAGGGGTGCCGTGGTGGAGATATGTTAACTACCTCTCCTGGTATACAGGAGGTCGTGGATTCAATCCAAACCGTGATACCTGTTGTATATTTGGAGTTTGCATGTCCCTCGTGTGGATTTTTCTCCAGGTCCCCGAGTTTTTCTTTCACATTTATAATCGACATCACGCGTTGAAAAATATCTACATAGCTCATTGTGTCTTCTCTGGTAAAAAAAAAAACGGATTACACCACTGAATCCAAATATAAATTGGAACAAAAAAAACAGTCGCCCTCCAACAACAGCGGAGGGCAGAGGAGCAACGCTCACAACAACGAGTTGGAGCACTGGGTGGCTAAAACGCGGCAAGTTGGCACAGAGGGAACAGCTGGTGCATCTGCCAGTCATCTCAGTCTTACCATGGCACCTGGGTCTACCCCCATGACATGTCAGCGAGCCTTCGACGCTTCACGTTGGCCTCGAGGAGTACCTAGCCTGGCACAAGCGTCGCGGTGACGTCCCGCTACTTGGTGGCGACTGCCGGCTTGCTGCTGGTCCCAGGCTGCGTTGTGGCGCTGCTTGCAGGTGGCCGCGGCGGCAGCCAGGAGGCGGTCGGGAGTCACCAGGCTGGGGGCTGTGCCAGGCTGGCTGGGGGCTGCCCATGCGGATCGGACTGCTTGTGCATTCTGAGAGTCCATGGTGAACGGGATACCCACCCTGCCTGGTAGGATGGAGATGGTTGAGTTTTACTGGTAGGAACGAAGTGGACCAGACCACCAATAGATGAATGTATCCGTCCGTCCGTCCGACTGTCCGTCCGTCCATCCGTGTATCAACATCGCCCCCTACTGCAAACACTTGGCATGACCCTACAAAAACCTTTAGACTCAGTGACGCTATCCTGGTAGCAACATCGCCCCCTACTGCAAACACTTGGCATGACACGTGTAACATTCCCTTATTCCCTGAGATAGATTTTAATTAAAACTTTGAAATTAAATAAAAAAAACTCACAGCGCCCTAAAGCCTACAGCTAGGCCTAAAGCCTAGAACTAGGCCTGAAACTCTCCCTTCGTATCGTACCCCCGCGTGTGTGAAAGGGAGTTATGTTTAACAATGTTACATTCCCTCATGTTTTTAAATAGAAACATCTAAATTTAAAGCTTTTACATAAATCATTAAAACATTTAAATTAAAAATTAACTCACAGCGCCCTAAAGCCTACAGCTAGGCCTAAAGCCTAGAACTAGGCCTCAATCTCTCCCTTCGTATCGTCCGATTTGGTGTAGCAACATCGCCCCCTACTGCAAACACTTGGCAGGACCCTACAAAAACCTTTTGACTCGGTGGGGCTTTCCTGGCTTAACAAGTGTAATAATAAACTTCGCTTCAAATTTACTTTACTGAAACGCAGCACGTTTTTTTAACACAGAGACAAAAAAACATTTATTAACACAGAGACGAGATACATTTAATCGCCTTATTTGTGCACGAAAAGCACGGCGCGAGGCCTAGTGCGGCAGGCTTCGCGAGGCCTAGTGCGGCAGGCTTTGTGAGGCCTACTGCAGGGAAGGCTTCACGAGGCCTAGTACAGAGAAGGCTTCACGAGGCCTACTGCAGGGAAGGCATCGCGAGGCCTAGTGCGGCAGGCTTCGCGAGGCCTACTGCAGGGAAGGCATCGCGAGGCCTAGTGCGGCAGGCTTCGCGAGGCCTAGTGCAGAAGGTGGTGGTGGGGTTGGGTGGTGTTGAGGGTGGTGTTGCGAGTCTTTAAATCTCACAGCGTTTCTTGTCAAAACAAACACTTTTAATTAACGTTACACTAGAATACAGTAATTTTTTCTTTAACTCCTCTATACCCGGTCGATATCCCTGTACCGGTACTAAATATTATTCCTACCAGCCCACCCCGCAGGGTCCTGTTATATTTGTGTTGTTTTTGTACTTGACACTTCTGCCGTGTGTTTGCGTTGATTGTTGTAACGTGCCCCTACTGGACATCTGTGGGGAAAAGCTTCATAGCGCATCGGATGCCTCCAGTATGAATACATATTCTGCATTTGATTCACTTGTTCTCCAGACCGGTGAATGGGTGCTGTATACAGCACACCGAGCGTTAACTTTGACCCGTGTGTGGAGAGTTCAATTTAAATGTGGCAGCTGTCCTGAGGGACGGACTGCGCCTTGTCTTGGTGTGGTCATCAACTCTGTTATTTTTCTGCCTTCCCCAAGCTGTTCTCTCTTTTGCACTCCTATCGTGTGTGTTTGTGTTGTTGTTGTTGTGACTCGCTTGACTCCGTACCCCCCCACGACTCATGGTATTCCCTCCCCGAAGTCTCGGCACGCATTCTCATTCTGAATTGCAAATTTCTAAGATTGAGCGCATGACGTCATGTTAATATGACGTCACGCGACCGATGTCTCGCTTTTACCCGAGGTTGACGTCATCGCCAGATGTTCCCGTCCATCCAAGAAAACAGCCGCGGCCCGTGACGTCAAAAACTCGCTATTACGTCATTTCGCGCTGACCTGCTTTGCCGAATTCAAGTTGCAGGAAGGAGAGGGCGCGACGTCATGTCCGCGGAGAGGTCACTCGTGACGTAGCGCCGGGGAGAGTGCGGGGAGAGAGAGAGAGGAGAGAGAGAGAGCGGGGGGAGAGCAGCAGGCAGAGCGAGTGAGACGCGGGGCTGGGTGTGTGCGGCCCAGGGGCTCTGCTCTGCGCGACTGGACGACGGCGGAGAGAGACAAAGACGGAGGCGAGGAGAGGGACGCAGTGAGGGAGAGACGGGGAGACGAGGCCGCGGTGCTGGGTTGCAAGTCGCCTGGGAGACGCTTCCACAACAGCGGGCAACCCTCGCTCGAAGCCACCAGCGCCTGGTGACTGTACCATGACTGTACCATGAGTGTACCATGAGTCTCTCTGTACCATGCCTGTACCATGACTGTACCATGAGTCTCTCTGTACCATGCCTGTACCATGACTGTACCATGAGTCTCTCTGTACCATGACTGTACCATGACTGTACCATGAGTCTCTCTGTACCATGACTGTACCATGAGTCTCTCTGTACCATGACTGTACCATGAGTCTCTCTGTACCATGCCTGTACCATGAGTCTCTGTACCATGACTGTACCATGAGTCTCTCTGTACCATGACTGTACCATGAGTCTCTCTGTACCATGCCTGTACCATGCCTGTACCATGACTGTACCATGACTGTACCATGAGTCTCTCTGTACCATGACTGTACCATGACTGTACCATGAGTCTCTCTGTACCATGACTGTACCATGAGTCTCTCTGTACCATGACTGTACCATGAGTCTCTCTGTACCATGCCTGTACCATGACTGTACCATGACTGTACCATGAGTCTCTCTGTACCATGACTGTACCATGAGTCTCTCTGTACCATGACTGTACCATGAGTCTCTCTGTACCTTGACTGTACCATGAGTCTCTCTGTACCATGACTGTACCATGAGTCTCTCTGTACCATGAGTTTCTTTCTAATACCATGTCTCTCTATAATACCATGCCTCTCTCTGCACCGTGACAATGTTCCATGTCTCTGTACCAAGACTCCACTTTTAACGTCACTGCCAGGTCTCGGTGTCTCTCTGGACTGCGACCGTGTGTGTGTGTGCCTCGTCTCCATGCATCGTGACTGTGCCCCTCCGTGTGGGTTTGCTCTTGGCCTAGGGGAGAAGTGAGGAGTCGGGTGGCCCCCCGCCATGAACCTGTCCAAGATCGTGGAGAACGTGAAGATGGGCCGCGAGTTTGCGCTCTTGGGTCTGTACGACGCTGCGCTCGTGTACTACCAAGGCGTCCTGCAGGAGATCCAGCACTACATCGGCTCGCTCAAGGAGCCGCTACGGCGACAGCGCTGGCAGGAGGTGACCTCGGCGAAATTAATCCCCCCACCGTCGTTTAAAATTCGTAGGAATCGCGAGCCAGTGACACCGACGGCATTAAAAAACCCGTGTTACGATTGCCGATGACGGACGCACGTACGTGCACGTCATCGGGGTTTTATTACGATTCCGTTCCAACGACGTAGACGTACGTCACGTCATCGGAAGGGAATCGGAAGAAAAAGGACATTCGAGAGGGCGTATGGCACAGTTTGGCGCCAGCTATCGTAAGAGTGTGGTCGTGTCGCTACAGTTCTCTGCGGTGAGTGTGATGTCTTTAAAACAGCGGCCCTATGACTCTCTGAATACAATTTAAATTGAACCGCGGTGCACGGGACATTGACCCTGCCTGGTAGGATAGGGATGGTTTAGTTTTATATTTCTATGTTTTTGGGTGATTTGTTTACCTTTCTTGTACTTTGCACTCCTATCGTGTTTTTGTGTTGTTTGTTGTTGTAACGCTCTTACCCGCCCCTACTGGACATCTGTGAAAAGGAGCTTTATAACTCATCGGATTCCTCCTGCAATCTAAATAAATATTCTGATTCTGAACTTGCGGTCATCTCGGAACAGGAAGAGGGTTATGCAGGTGGAGCATTTGAACTGCAGTATTTAGGTAGCATGGTAACTGGAGATGGAAGGTGCATCGCAGACATAAACAGAAGAATAGCATTGGCAAAGTTACGTTGCAGAATATGGGACCTATATTGAAGAATAAGGAATTGTTAATGACAACGAGAATTATAATGCTGCAGCGTTGCATATGCTGGTCTGTATGGATGTGAAAGCTGGACCATTACAACAGGCCCTGCAGAGCCAACTGTAAGCGACAGAGATTTGGTTTTCAAAGAGGATGTTAAACATTTAACAGACAGACAAAACGAGTGACGTAAATGTAGTTTGGATAGCGTCAGGTTACATAACAAGAAAATGTTTAAGAACAATCATAGAAATGGCATAGTTAGATTTCTTGGACTTGTAATGAGAAAACAGGGTACTGAATATAAACGTGGTTTTAACTGGGAAAATTATAGAGTAGCTAGCGCGAACTTCTCGAGTGAATATTGTGGACAGAGCTGCTAAGTGGAAGGAGGCCACGACCACCAGACATTTTCGAGAAAGGACGTGGCGCGTAGAGCGAGGAGCGAGATGCAACATTCGAGCTCGTTGAAAAAACGAGACAGGACGGACGAGAAACAGCGCGAGCGTGCTGTGAACCCATTCGGTCGAATCGCAACACTGAATTCACGAGGATTGACGTAATCGCCGGTGTTGACGGGCGCGACGGGTCACCGCTGCGTGCCTCAACGAGAGAGAGCGCCGGTGGTCGGGCTGCTGTTTAGCAAGCGGCTAACGTCGTTTGTCATGCGTGCCGCAGGTGAGGGCAGAAATGGTGCAGGAGTACGAGCAGGTGAAGGATATCGTCAAGACTCTCGCCAGCTTCAAGATCGACAGCTTCCCGCTGCAGGTTTATGAGGAGCCCACCCGAGACCCTGACGTGTGGCCGGCCCCAACACCCGCCGAGAACAGGTGACCGCAGGGGCAAGGTCATTCATAATTTTTTATTATTATTATGGTTATCACGCTTCTTTACCCAGGAAAGCCTGTATATTTGTCGTTTGTATGTTATCCCCGTGGTCGCGTGGGGAGAACATCCAAAGTTCAAATATACAGCAGGCGTCGGGGTCGGGATCGAACCCACGGCCTCCTGCATACCAGGCGAGGTAGTTAACATCTCACCACCGTGGCACCCATGCAAAGCACAAGCGCGTCAAACTCTGTCTGGACTTGAAACTGTTAACATGAACAGTAGTTCAAAATGTAGTACATTTGGTATTGGGTTTCACAGACACGGGCTGCAGTAGTTTCACAGTAGGTGGGGGGCGATGTTGCTGTCGTGTGCAACCCCAATTGAGTCATTTGCGATGGCTTTTTTTGATCAAATTTGAACTGTGGCGCCAGCCACACAATGACCTACCCATTTGCAATCACGTCAGGAGATCTCTAAAGTACCCTGAGAGTGAAGCAAGATGGCGCATAGTATTAGTATGGTTAAGAACACAGGGCAGCCTGCAGGTATCGAACCAAGAACCTCTTAACAACCTGCGAACGCACTAAATCTCTGGGCTGCGGTACCTCCTCAAAAATCCCTACTTCGTTTGTCTTTTCACAGGCATTCTCCTGCCATCTTCAGGCCAGTAGATGCAGGGAAAGGCAAGAGGGAAGTGAAGCTGGGTCGGAGGGAGCAGCAGGCAGCCGCCGCCGCCGCTGGCAGGGTGAAGCCCTCCCAGCCGTCGGCTCGGAGCGAGAAGCCGCGGATTTCTGTTCCCTCTGCCAAGGACAGGGAGGGGCGGGCACGTGGCCGTGACGCTGACAAGGTGAGGGAACTCGGGCACTCACCGCGTCCTCACGCCTCGGCCTTTTTGTAATGTGATGAAGAATGTGCAACGCGCACGGTTATCATTCACTCTCAAGAGATAGAGAGACGGACTGTTCAACCCCCACACTGCAGTTCACCTCACTTCCCTTTCTGCTTCTTCCCTTAACACCGCTCCACCTTTAAGATCCTTCCCATCGTCTCTTATCCCGAGCTGTCATGACGACAACCTTTCTCAATTCAAGAAGCGCGTTCATAACTCTTTGCTACTGTACCTGTGATACTCGTGCCGTTTGTTGCTAGGGCCTTAAAATTGTGGGGGCCTTTTGCACCTGTGCTCGTAAAATCGTTCGGGAAGCTATTTAACCCTCGCGCGTTTCGCTGGCGGGGAATGTGCAGGGCAAGCGAGGAGTTCAAGAGCCGCTGTCGGAAGAAGGGAAGAAGTTTGACGGAACAGGCTACGACAAGGATCTTGTGGACGCTCTGGAAAGGGACATCGTCTCCCGCAACCCCAACGTCCGCTGGTGAGCATGGTGCCGCGTTACCACTGGCGTCTACTCGCTCCAGTCGCAGATCCCCCGTTTGGCTAGGGCCGTGTACCTGGTGGAGGCCACTCCACGCTGTGCCTGGGGACGTATTTGCACCCCCCCGCGTCGTCCCCACAATTGTCTTCCCACCGCTTGTGTTCAATTTTATTGTTTTGTGCTTGATTGCACATTTTTTACGAAGGAGTAATCTTAATTTTAAATCTTCGTTGTAATGGTGCATTTGAATACGTACGGTTGTGTTGTTGTTTTTCTGTAAACAGTAATTGTTGTCGTTCTGTTGTCTTGTTTAAGCCAGGTCTAACCAAGGTCAGTCACTTATTGCAATTCAGAGTCATCCTTGTCGCTTCAATTCTCGCCTCTCGTTAACAAAAGAAACTGGGAACTCGCGTGACTGAGGCCGGTCTCAGTGGGCTGTCGCATCGCATGGTTTTTAAATATGAGAGATTCACTTTCATTGACTCAGTTGTTAATGCCCTGCGGCGGTGTCATTCCCAGGGACGACATTGCAGACCTTGACGTGGCCAAGAAGCTGCTGGAGGAAGCCGTGGTGCTGCCGATGCTCATTCCGGATTTCTTCAAAGGCATCCGCCGACCATGGAAGGTGAGACAGAGGGGTGGCGAACATTGACGCCCCTGGTGCCCAAGTTAGTGGGGAGTGTAGACACGGACACACGCCAGTAACTGTTACGGACTTCCCCAGTGGTGCGTGGTTACTTTGGACGGCAGGGCAGAAGCAGTGCAGTGGTGATGCCCGCGCTTCACAGCAAGGAGCGCCTGGGTTGGATCACCGACCCGGGTGCATTTCTGCCTGGAGTTTGTGTGTTCTCTCCCCGTGTTCTGCGTGGGTTTCCTCCCATGGTTCTCTGGTTTTCTCTCACGGCTAAAACAAACTGTACAATTAACCGATATTGGCCGAAACATCCCATTGCTGAAAAATTGCGTGAAAATTACTGATGGGATTACACATGGCAGCAATATCACTCCCTTCTGCAAAAATTTGGCAGGACCTTCGTGACAGACGAGTCTTGACACTCACGCTTTCCTGGGTATAAAAGTGTAATAATATGAATGTTGTGCACTGACGAGTCTCCCATTGGCAGGGTGTGCTCATGGTCGGCCCTCCAGGCACAGGCAAGACCATGTTGGCCAAGGCTGTGGCCACGGAGTGTGGAACAACCTTCTTCAACATCTCCTCGTCCACGCTCACGTCCAAGTACCGCGGCGAATCCGAGAAGCTCGTCCGTCTGCTCTTCGAAATGGTAGGACGGCAGGTTTGCTTCCAGCCGCCCTTCCTGCCAGATTTAGAATCTTGTGCCGCCAAGATCCTCGATCGCCAAGGGGTCTCGCGGCGCAACCACGGCACGACCGCAGCATGACCGCGGCACCAGTGCGCCCCGGTTGACTCACGTTCCGCGCTGTGTGTTTTGCTCTTTGCCCCAGGCGAGGTTTTACGCCCCGACCACCATATTCATTGACGAGATCGACTCGATCTGCAGCCGCCGCGGCACCTCGGACGAGCACGAGGCGAGCCGCAGGGTCAAGTCCGAGCTTCTCATCCAGATGGACGGTGAGAGTCTCCCCCATCCCCACTCCCTCCATGCATCGCGCACACTCTCTCCATTTACTTTCATTTAACGGAAACCTTATTCTTGGTTCTTTTGGTAAGTCACATAAAAAAATATATACATTAATTAAAAATAAAAATAAAAGCAAAAAACCATGACGTTTCGATCGCAACACAAGCGTGACTTTACCGAAAGAACCAAGAATATGAATTCCTGCAGCCACGAAAGTTTTAAGTCAAAACGGAAACCTTGCTGAATTACAGACTGTTGGGGCAAGTGCCATTTGCGAGCACCTATTAAGGCCGGCGGTGGTTTTTGGTGGTCAGCACCACGGCTGGCCACCTTTTCCGAAATTTCACGCCGCACCAGGTACTCATTTAAGGCTGCTTAGTCGACCTAGAGGAGGCCCAGGACCGGTTTAGATAATTGTCGCCGATGTTGAACAGGAATCGAATCTCAGGTCGCCGGGTTTGTGGCAGTGGCAGTGTGCTCACCGCTGCATCACCGCTGGCGAATTTGTGGGCGCAACAGCACGCATGGTCGCACGCACCCACATAGGTTTCCTAGGCGCCGGTTCATGCTCCGCCAAACGTTGCTGCGCAGGTGTCGGGGGTGCCTTGGAAAACGATGACCCAACCAAGATGGTGATGGTCCTGGCCGCAACCAACTTCCCCTGGGACATCGACGAGGCCTTGAGACGCCGCCTGGAGAAGCGCATCTACATCCCGCTCCCATCGGGTAGCTCACGGCGACACGCGGGCACCAACACGCACTTGTGCGCCAACAATTTAACGTCGAATTTAGTACATGTGGTACTGGCGCTGATTTGTAGTGGAGTTAGCACATTTGGAAAATTTGGGCCGTGACCACCAGCCACGCAACGGCCCACTCACTTGGAATAACGTCACGGGATCGTTAATGTCGACTGTGAAGCAGACACACAGAATTATTTAAGACAAATTATTGGTTATTTACCAGATAAGGCCCACTGAGTTTTTTTCTTCACCTGAAGACGGCTGCTTGCGTTGTAGCCGAAACGTCGTGAGAATTATTTTATTATGTTTTATTTTTATTATTTTATTACTTCCCTTCTACGTGACTTTACCGAAAGAACCAAGAAGAATGCCCACTGAGCTTTGTAGCTCTTTTTCAGGAGCGACCTCGCCAAAAATGACAGCTGAATAAAGTGGTTTATTGCGTGGGAATATATAGCAGCCAAATACTCTTAATCGCATGATTCTAAATATGGATGGAAAAATCGGACCCGGAGAAAAATCCACACAACCACAGGGAGAGAGACATGCAAACTCCAAATATGCAGTCTTCGGGGTCGGAATCAGACGAGGTAGTTAACAAGCGGCTAACACGCCACCGCTTGGCGCTTCCCCGTGATGGCAGACTCGGGTCGCGAGGAGCTGCTCAAGATCAACCTACGTGAAGTGGAGGTGTCAGCCGACGTGGACATGAAGAAGATCGCGGAGCAGCTCAATGGCTACTCGGGCGCCGACATCACCAACGTGTGCCGGTGAGTCCAGATGGTGCCCCGCCATCACCGCCACGGGGCTCCGTAAAGGGACCCGTCGGTTTTATATTTAATGTTATTTTTTTTAATAGTTAAAGCCACACGCATGACTGTTGATTTAATATTCATTTGGATGCCGATAAGTCTATGGCGCCATATTCTTGGTCACGACTTGGCTCAATTGAGCCAGATTGAAGGCATGCACGTAATTTGAGCCGACTCTTATGGGCCTGGTCCAAGCCGCACTAACTCAGGATTCCCATGAGCGGAGCCCGATTCGAGCCCGTGGCCAAGCCCACTCGCGCGTCGTTGGAAGCAGCTGAGCAGCTCAATCCAGAGCTGAGCCGCGTCCGTGGCCGAGCCAGAGCCGAGCCGCGACTGAGAATACGGCCCCAGGAGATTTGACTGACGTGACTTTCATCATTTTTTAAATTATTTTTATATTATAATTATATGGCCTCCCCAAATCCCTTACCTCTAAACTGCAATCGATTAAAAATGCCACTGCCTCTTCTTGCGAAACAAATGATGATGTCCGCTGTGGGGAATGCTGTGTTTGACGATGGTGTGAGATGGTTAGTGGTGTCTGTTTGCTCTTGATGCATCCTGTAGGGACGCGTCAATGATGGCCATGAGACGCAGGATTCAGGGTCTCAGCCCAGAGGAGATTCGCAATCTCTCCAGGGAGGAGCTGCAGATGCCCACCACGATGGAGGACTTTGAGTCTGCCATCCATAAGGTCTCCAAGTCGGTCTCCGCTGCCGACCTGGAGAAGTACATCCAGTGGATGGCAGAGTTCGGTTCCACTTAGCCACGCTGCAAACTCTTCAGCTGGAGAGGAAGTTTACAGGAGACCAAATCAGGGCAAACTGAAACCCTCTTCTCTCCTCCCACAGTCCAACAACTAGTGTAACGAGAAGTGTGTGTGTGTCTCCGTCTGATGTGAAATCCCGTGGCGAAAGATTTAACCGCACATCTTCACCCGGTGGGCGATAATATTTTAACAACAATAGGTTGAGTTTGAATCCAATCTTTTTGCCGCACTTACGACTAAAGTAGGGTCAAGCATAACTCCGTCTTCTTGTGCATCTGAGCGAATCAAATAGTGTGTTATTTACCTCTTTCAAGTTAAGTGTGGTGGAGAAATCAAACGCCGTATTGCTGCTGTACGGTGGCACAGAGTGGTGGCAGTGCGGTGGTGACCCGGGCGCCTTTTCTCTGTGTGGAGTTTGTACGTTCTTCCCCTGTTCCGCGTGGCTGGTATTGGACCAACATCCCACGTACCTGCAAATTACTCAATTAGGATTAGACAAAGCAACATTACCCCTGACTGTGAACACTTGGCACGACCCGCCTGATAATAGCCTTGAGACTCAGCGAGGCTTCCCCGTAAAAACGAGTGTAGCAGTAGTAATCGTAATGAGTGGAGTGCGGAGCTCCTCTCTGCGTATCGCGTGTTTGCGCTCTCCGTGCTTTATTTAAAATCCAGCTGTTGGCACGAGGGTTTAACCATTGACGTGGCTCAGGGTTCAATGGTAAGTTGTGATGTAATTTTTCCATTCGGAACACCCACCCGCACGCATCCGTGAGGTCGTGTGACGCTGTTGTATCGCTGTGTGCGCCGTCATGCGCACGGTGTGCCGCGCCGTTACGGATCTGTACATTTGAGCCCGGCGAGGTTTGCTTGTGAAATGAACGATGCAATTAAAATAAAGATGCTAATGATGACTAAGAGGGAGATTTTGAGAGCTTCACTGTTAATGATTACATGGCCCATGGGCAGCTCAATGTTTGTGGAGGTTCGCCAGTTCGAATCTGGTAGGCCGCCACGTGGTTATTACTGCGGTATGTGTTGACCGTAAATACTTCACAGTTGACGTTCAACAACCCGAATCGAGTGGGCCATTGTGTGCTGACGTCCCGCTTAATTATTTGCCAAATTTAGAAAGTTACACCGCTAATGACTCGGTTGGGATTACACGCGACGACACACAGCAGGCGGCTCTGTTAGACACAGCTCGGCATTACGAACGGTCCCCGGTATGGGGATGAGAGTCCAGCCCAAGGTGCAAGCACAGACCAATGAAACGAAGTCTCATTGTAGTCCCCTCATGACCTTGGCACACGACTACTGGCCGGGTTGGACCTCTGGAATATTAATCACATTCCTCTGTTTATGGCCACTACAAAAGCCACCACATCTTGTCACACCACCCAATGAGAGGCCATGATTAACATAAATTTTTTATGACTTAATATTACGATTCTTTACCCAGGGCAACTTTACTCTAATGAATTAGTAGGGTCCTGCCAAGTTTTCACAGTAGGGGGGTGCTGTGTGTGATCCAAATTGAGTAACTGGCAGGTAATGTTTCAGCGCTGGGATATTGTGGCCAATACCGGTTGTTACTGTGTGATTTTGCCTTTTAGCTATGGGAGGACACTGGAGAAGCCGGTGGAAAACCCATTCCAGACCACCAGGGGGGCGAGTAATCTCCACACAAGCAGAATCGGAATATTTAGACTGGAGGAATCCGATGAGCTATAAAGCTCTTTCACATATGTTCAGTAGGTACAGGGTAAGAACGTACAAAGAACAAATCAAAAGGGGTGGCGAGATGTTAACTACCTCGCCTGGTATACAAGAGGGTGTAGGTTCGATCCCAAACCTGACGCCTCTATATTTGGAGTTTGCGTGTCTCTCCCCATGGTTTTGTGGATTTTTCTTCTGAGTCCTCCGGGTTTTCCCTCCACATTTAGAATCAACATCACGTGTTTAGAGTATTTGGCTGCTATTCATTTCCACGTGATAAGCCACTTCATTGAGCTATCATTTGTGGCCAGGTCGCTTCTGAAAGAGCTACATAACTCATTGGGCCTTACCTAGTAAAATAAAATAAAAATAGTTTTTGGTTTAGTCAAACCTGGCCTCTTCTTGCTGCGAGGTGCGAGTGTTGCCACTGCACTGCTGCCACCCCTGCCTGCCCTGTTGGTTTGTTTGAAGAGAATAAGTAATATTTAAAAAAATAAAATAAACACGCTTTAATTAAATGTACCATACGAGTAATGGCAGAACTCCACGACTCCAGGACGTGGCCCCGAGGCTTGCCATAACGTAAGGGGGCCGTGGTGATTTACAGCCAACGTCAGTTGAGCGTGGACAATTAGACCCAAGCCAAAACATAACATATAAAAAAGATTGTTTAAAAAATATATATTTTAAACGATAGAATATAGTATTGTCACCAGGATGACATACGTATACCAAGTTTGCAGTCGATACGACATTGGAAAGTGGGTTAAAATTGAGTTACAATATTTGAAGATACGACAACAGTAAGTTAGATAAAAGCGTGTAAAATAATAATAAACAAGCACCCGGATTGAGAATTTGAGGGATGTCGATTGCAATCTTTCTCATGTTCAGGATTGTAAACTAGAGCGGAGAGTGTGTTTGAGTGATGTTTCTCTCTTATGTAAGTGTTCAGTATCCCAATTGTTTTCGATGAATCTGTTGTTGAACGTGTTGAAGTCTCAAGACGGAGGAATCTTGCTACACACACACACACACAAGGTTAGTCAATTCATAATCAACCATTTTGGGTTTAGATCGCGTTATTTATAAATGTGTCGTAACCCTCCACCACCCGACACGGCCAATCAGTAAAAATGTGTCACGTTGACAAATAGTTCACTGCTTTAGCCCACCGGTGTGTTGAAGCCACAACATTTACAATTTGAGTACGACGTTTCGCTGGTAATTGCAACCAGCCTACGTGTTAAACTGAAGGTTAGTCAAGTCGGAAATGTGCTGTGCTAGATGGAGCGAGTCTCAATGTCAACAGCTGAGCGTGCGTGACGAGCAACGAGCAGTTCCAGTAATTGGTGTGCGGGGTAGATACGTGGGAGAGTAACAATCGATAAATAGTGCTAATTATATGCAAACTGATATGTTAGTGTTAGACTCACGAAGCAAACAAGACAAACGAAGAACACTACAAATGAGCTGGGAAAAAACTAGAATCCATGCTTGAATGTGAATGTAGCGATGTAGGATTTGTAATGCATGCCGCCCGATTTTAATTCGCTTTCAGAAAGGGAATGATTCGGGGGGTGAGTGATTCAGACCCGTGGGAAACCCGCGGGCAAGCGGTCGGTCGGGCAGTCAGAACCGACACCGCCAACAATTTCCAGAGCTCTGTGGTCCTACATTGGGATGGTCGACTTCACCGTTCACGAGGGTTAGTTTATAACTGCAGGAGAAAAGCGGAGCGCCCGGAGAAAACTCACACTTTCACTTGCGTGTGTGGCTGGGTAACACGCGGATGGCATACAGATGTAATTTAAACCAGCTTGCTGTACTGCCATCGTACCCCTGGCAAGCCAGGAGTTGGCAACACCGAAACTCACGGGCAGGAAGGGAGTTCCACGAATGTTGAGTGAGACCGGTCTTAAGCTATAAACATTTCCCAGGATGTATTTTATTTAAAACTGGGAACTCTGTACATGTGAGTAACGTGTGTTATTTAAACTAGGAAGTTGCTCGAGCATAGACACAATACGACAAATGGCCAGCCGAGGGCGCTGTCCAAGTTGTAAGAGATTTCCAAAGCACAGCAGTGCGGGGGGAATGAGTAGAACCAGAAGTGAGGTCACCTGCACATGTACAGACTTTACCGAAAACACCTAAGAATATGAATCCTTGCAGTCACGAAAGCTTCAAATCTAGAATGAGCAGGGGCGGTTTCTTCATTAGTGCACCACCAATGTCATTGAACCACAGAGTCACGCTAGCCATCACTGTGCCTTTGGATATAGTCCAATCAGCGTCATGTCACGTTCTGTGGAGTACCGCCTCTTTTTGGGCGATTTCACTCCGGCTGAGAATCGCCCCGAGTGGCCCCATAGACTTACATTCAAAGATGTTTTTTTTCGAACGGCGGGCGCTCCAATGCATTCTCTATGGCTTCCGGGAGGGCTCGCACTAACGTGCTAACGTCATCATACGTAAGCACGTTTCATCCAACAATATAATTTATCGCCACCTAGTGGAATCTTTAATAAAATAAACTTGAGTGGTTTGTTTTAATAGTGAGTATAGAAACAAACAAGATGTATTGTAAGAGTCACTTTATTTTTAATTAATATTAAAGAAGTGAAGTTTGCCTTTACATGCTTAAGCTGTTAATTTATCCATTGCATGGGTGGACCTTATCCTTATCAATCATCCAGACATTTGCCCCCCCTGAGAGATTTTGCAGGAGCCGCCACTGCGCCTGACATTTGTGATGGTGAAACGATCGATTGATGTTTCGGTCGAATCAAATTGTGGAGTACATTTCTAATCGTCGGAGGAGGTTCGTGGTCGCTGCTTCTGTGAAGATCCGCGTCTACTCCTAATGACTTTCTGTGTTACCGGCTAATGGCCCACTGAGCTGTGCAGCTGTTTTTCAGAAGCGACCTGGCCACAAACGATAGCTCAACGAAGTGGATCATCGCGTATAAATGTAGAGCAGCCAAATACTCTAAACGCGTGACGTTGATTCTAAACGTGGAGGAGAAAGTTCAAGTTCATTTATTAGGTATAGCCCTGTGAGCCATTCAGCTCTTGAATCGGGTGCAACCGCAACAAACAAAAAACAAAACATGAACAAAAAACATCTTAAAGTGAATATGTGACTAAGTGCAAACAGAAAATCCAAGAAAAGACAGCAAAAATATTGCAGAAAAACACCGTACACAAACGCTGTGCAAAAATCTCAGTGGGATGCAAGTCAGACAACAACAACCACAAGACAGCTTAGATTAAGGCCATCAGTCTAACTCTGTACTACAACAACACAAACATGGCTAAACCAATACACTTTTCGAAATCACCAAAATAAACCCATGAAAGTCAAACAACAACAACAACAACCACAAGACAACTTAGATTAAGGCCACAGAGAGAGAGAAAGACACGCAAACTCCAAATATCCAGCAGCAGCAGCAGGCGTCAGGGTCGGGATGGACCCCACGACCCTCCCCCCCCGAAGTCGTCGACGTCTTGCCGCTCGTCAGGCGCCACGCGTGTCACTTCGCATCCGCCGTCTTCTAATAAATGTTTATTTGCCCTCTTCGTTCACTCCGTGTCGTTGTTGTTGTATCGATCGTGTCGGCTCGTTAGCGCCGTCGCAATGACGCCGCTCGCTCCCGGGGGCGCCGGGAAGAAGAACCACAGACGGCAACAGTTCAGCAGCGAGGAGCCGGCGATAAATTACTCCCCTCCAAGCTCTGCAGTCCTCTCTACACGTGAAAGTGCAATTGGCCATTTAATGAATAAGTTACACGGAGGGTGACTGCTCCTGGACGCCCACACACGGGCAGGGAGCTTCACGGCGTCTGTGGTCAGCAGCTGCGGCGTCTTCACCGTCGGCGGCGCCCCCCCCCGGGGGCTCGCGGCCCCCCCGGGGGCTCGCGGCCCCCCCGGGGGCTCGCGGCCCCCCCGGGGGCTCGCGGCCCCCCCGGGGGCTCGCGGCCCCCCCGGGGGCTCGCGGCCTCCCCGGGGGCTCGCGGCGCGGGCAGCGACATCCGCGGCACTGCCGCAGCAGCGAGCAAGACGCGCAATGAAACGACGTAGCACGCGACATATCGCGACATCGCACGGTACAGAACGATATAATATTGAGCGATATAGCACAAGATATCACCATTTCGCACGAAACATTGACGCATATCACAAAATACCCCACAGTATAAAGCGACGTATCGCGATATAACACGATGTACTGTATATAACACGATGTACTGTATATAACACGATGCACTGTATATTACACGATGTACTGTATATAACACGATGTACTGTATATATCACGATGTACTGTATATATCACGATGTACTGTATATAACACGATGCACTGTATATATCACGATGTACTGTATATAACACGATGCACTGTATATTACACGATGTACTGTATATAACACGATGTACTGTATATAACACGATGCACTGTATATAACACGATGTACTGTATACAACACGATGTACTGTATATCGCGATATATCGCGGCGACCCCGTGGAGACGGGGTTAGCCGCGCGGGCCGTGACGTCACGCGACCTCTGACCCCACGGCGCCACACGTGGTTGTTACTGTACGCGCCGCCACGTGCCTCTCCGTCTCCCCTGGCTCCCCGCGTCTCCCCGCGCCTCTCTCATTCGCCCTGCGTCTCGCTCGTCTCCATGGAGTCTCGCCTCCGATACTCGGGCTCCGCGTGGCTCAGGCCGCGCCTCGTCCTCTCCGTGCTGAGCGGCCGCAGCGTGACCATCAGCGCCGTGAGGGCGCGGGGCTCCGAGCCGGGGCTGGCGGGTGAGGAGGTGGAGGAGGGAGTGAGATCCCGAGCGTGAGACTCCGCGGAGACACTGGGATACGTGGGCCCCACTGTGGCCAGACGTTATCTCCCGCGTCTGGTATTCAGGAGATCGTTGGTTCGACCGTGACGCCTGTTGTATATTTGTAGTTTGCGTGTCTCTCTGCCCGTGATCGCGTGTAATTTTCTCCGAGTCCTCCGGTTGTTTACTCCACATTTAGAATCAACATCACGCATTTAGAGTATTTGGCTGTTATAAATGTCCACGTCGTGAGCCACTTTGTTGAGCTGTCATTTGTGGCCAGGTCGCCTCTGAAAGAGCTACAGAGCTCGGTGGGCCTTACCTGGTAAAATAAAAACAGGACCCTGCGGGGTGGGCTGGTAGGAACGAATAACCAAATAATATAAACATAATGTATTATTACACTTGTTTAGCCAGGAAAGCCCCACTGAGTCTAAAGGTTTTTGTAGGGTCCTGCCAAGTGTTTGCAGTAGGGGGCGATGTTGCTACACGGACGGACGGACGGACGAAATAATCTATTGTAGGCTGGTCCACTTCGTTCCTACCAGTATAATGCTTTTGAGAAGTTGTAACTCAGCAGGGTTGCCACTGCCACGAGCGAATTAACTTCCCCGTGTTTTTCTCCAGATTTTGAAGTCAGTCTCATTCGATTGCTGGACAAGATCACAAACGGCTCCCGCATCGACATCAACGAGACAGGTGGGCTGGAGTCGCCTTCGTGATAATCATCGCCATCGTTGTCAGCCATGGTCTATCCACTTCTGAATGAAGGCCTCCCCAAGCTGTCGGCATCTGCATGTTCTCTATGTTGAACTTATTTTGCACCGTACGTAGCCAGCAGTGCTTACCGCTCCACCTCCTCGGTGGACGCCCCTTCTCGAGCGCGTTGTACCATCCTCGGCCGCCATTCCGTTGTTAGTCTTCACCATCGTCCCGTGCAGCCGTGGTGCGTCCCGCACAAGCCCCGCAATTCGCGTCTCTCGAGTTTGGGTGACGTCATTAACCCCACTATGGGGACCTCATTTGCCAGTAAAAATATGATAATTGGTTCTTTACCCTTCTATCCTTGCAAAAAGGTGTCAGTTTTGTTGCCAGATAGAAGGGTAAAGAACCAATTGTCATTAACCCCGTGCACTGTCAATCATCCACCAGTTCCTCGCGTCTTTATATAATTCTAAGCGCGTTGTTTATCCGTGCTTTGCGCACGCTTTAGGTTTTTGTTCTCTGTTTTCATTCGTGACCCACGTTCCTAAACTGCATGCGCTTGTGTGTGGAGAGCGGTAGTGTAGTGGTTAGTGCTGGAATATGCTACGAACTCAGTGACCAGAGTTTTATTCCCGCTCACGGCCAACACCAGTGACGATTATCTGAGCCGGTTCTAGGCCTCCCCTAGGTCGACTCAGCCGCAAATGAGTACCCGGTGCGATGTGTAAACATTGCCACTGGGGAGACAAAGGCAGTCGGGCGTGGTGCTGGCCACCCACCCCCTCATGTGCCGTACCGGCCTTCATAGGTACTCGCTAACAACACTTGCCCCAACAGTATTTTAAGGCTATACGGGGGATCTTTGTCTTTGTGTAGGCACGATGTTGCGCTTCCATCCCGGGTTGCTGTGGGGTGGCCCCGTGGAGCACGAGTGTCCGGCCTCACGCAGCGTCGGCTACTTCCTGGAGGCGCTGCTCTGCCTGGCGCCGTTTTGCAAGACGCCACTGAGAGCCTCGCTAGCGGGCGCGACCAGTGGCACGCACGACCCCTCCGTGCGTCACACGCACAGAAGCACACACACGCACGCGCAAAACAACAACAGCCGCCAATCGTAACAAGGCTAGGTGCACTTTCAGTCAATGTGAAGCGTCGAAGGCTTCAAATTTGACTGGAAGATGCACACCTGCGCTCCCCCACTGTGCTGTGTTTTACCACCTGGCGCTCTGCTCGTGAGCATTTGCTCCTCTGCGGTTGTTGGAGGGCGACTTCCTCCCAATTGTTGAGTAGCATTTGTCTCGAGCCTCCTCCACAGAGGCTGATCTTGACATCGCTGGTACTAGCCATCGCCAATTCCACTCAGTGCCACATTCTCCTGTACCACATCAGCCCATCTCTTCTCGTTGGTTGACGTCACCACTTCGGTGCACGTGTTGTCGTGATGTCGCCGTGTGGTGTGACGTCGATGTGTGTGGTGTCATGACGTCGCCACCTCTCCCATGTAGGTGGATGTGATCAAGGCCACGGCGCTGCCTCTGCTCCGCCGGTTCGGGATTGGGGAGGTCGGACTGGATCTGCAGGTAAACGAGGCCACGTTGTGGTGCACAGCGCGAACACAACACCTGGGTTCGATTCCCATATCAGGCACCGTTCTGTGTGCAGTTTATATGTTCTCACCTTGTACTGTGTGAGTGAGTGTGTCGCTCCGTGCTCATGGCTCCCCACGTGTGTCACTCCGTGTGTGTCGCTCCCCGTGTGTAGGTGCTGCGGAGGGGCATGGCCCCGGGAGGTGGGGGGTTGGTGCTGTTCTGCTGCCCTGTGCGGCGCCACCTCAAGCCCCTGCAGCTCACGCAGCCGGGGAAGATTAAGCGCATCCGCGGAGTGGCGTATCCTGCTCACCCACCAGCACTCACCACCAGCACTCACCAGTCAGCACTCACCAGCCAACACTCACCAGTATCAATCACCAGCGAGTCCTCACCACCACTCACCAGCCAGCACTAGCCACCACCACTCACCATCCAGCACTAACCACCATCACCGCTCACCACCACTGCCCACCACCACCACTCACCAGCTAGCACTCACCAGCACCACTCACCAGCCAGCACTAACCACCACCACTGCTCACGACCATCGCTCACCACCACCACTCACCAGCCAGCACTCACCAGCCAACACTCACCAGTACCACTCACCAACCAGTGTTTACCAGCACTACTCACCAGCCAGCACTAACAACCACCACCACCACTCCAAACCAGCACTATCCACCACCGCTAACCACCACCACTCATTGTCTGTTGTTAGCGAGGTTAATTTCCTTAGCGTGCGCCACAGCTTCGGCACGCGGGTGTCTCCCCAAGTGTCCAACCGCCTGGTGGAAGCGGCACGCGGAGTCCTCAACCGCTTCCTACCCGACATCTACATCCACACGGACCACCGCAAGGGGGCACAGGCGGGGAGGCAAGACCCTCAGTCACACACACGGGCGCCAGCGCCACCCCGACCGCCTCCCAGTCACACACACGGGCGCCAGCACCACCCCGACCGCCTCCCAGTCACACACACGGGCGCCAGCACTACCCCGACCGCCTCCCAGTCACACACACGGGCGCCAGCGCCACCCCGACAGCCTCCCAGTCACACACACGGGCGCCAGCACCACCCCGACCGCCTCCCAGTCACACACACGGGCGCCAGCACTACCCCGACCGCCTCCCAGTCACACACACGGGCGCCAGCACCACCCCGACCGCCTCCCAGTCACACACACGGGTGCCAACACCACCCCGACCGCCTCCCAGTCACACACACGGGTGCTAGCACCACCCCGACAGCCTTCCAGTCACACACACGGGTGCCAGCACCACCCCGACCGCCTCCCAGTCACACACACGGGCGCCAGCACCACCCCAACTGCCTCCCAGTCACACACACGGGCGCCAGCACCACCCCGACCGCCTCCCAGTCACACACACGGGCGCCAGCACTACCCCGACCACCTCCCAGTCACACACACGGGTGCCAGCGCCACCCCGACCGCCTCCCAGTCACACACACGGGCGCCAGCACCACCCCGACCGCCTCCCAGTCACACACACGGGCGCCAGCACCATCCCGACCGCCTCCCAGTCACACACACGGGTGCCAGCGCCACCCCGACCGCCTCCCAGTCACACACATGAGCACCAGCGCCACCCCGACAGCCTCCCAGTCACACACACGGGCGCCAGCGCCACCCCGACCGCCTCCCAGTCATACACGGGCGCCAGCACCACCCCGACAGCTTCCCAGTCACACACACGGGCGCCAGCACCACCCCGACAGCCTCCCAGTCACACACACGGGCGCCAGCGCCACCCCGACAGCCTCCCAGTCACACACACGGGCGCCAGCACCACCCCGACCGCCTCCCAGTCACACACACGGGCGCCAGCGCCACCCCGACCGCCTCCCAGTCACACACACGGCCGCCAGCACCACCCCAACCGCCTCCCAGTCACACACACGGCCGCCAGCACCACCCCGACAGCCTCCCAGTCACACACATGGGCACCAGCGCCACCCCGACAGCCTCCCAGTCAGACACACGGGTGCCAGCACCACTCCGACCGCCTCCCAGTCACACACACGGGTGCCAGCACCACTCCGACCGCCTCCCAGTCACACACATGGGCACCAGCGCCACCCCGACAGCCTCCCAGTCACACACATGGGCACCAGCGCCACCCCGACAGCCTCCCAGTCACACACACGAGCGCCAGCGCCACCCCGACCGCCTCCCAGTCACACACACGGGCGCCAGCACCACCCCGACAGCCTCCCAGTCACACACACGGGCGCCAGCGCCACCCCGACAGCCTCCCAGTCACACACACGGGCGCCAGCGCCACCCCGACAGCCTCCCAGTCACACACACGGGCGCCAGCGCCACCCCGACCGCCTCCCAGTCACACACACGGGTGCCAACACCACCCCGACCGCCTCCCAGTCACACACACGGGTGCTAGCACCACCCCGACAGCCTCCCAGTCACACACACGGGTGCCAGCACCACCCCGACCGCCTCCCAGTCACACACACGGGCGCCAGCACCACCCCGACTGCCTCCCAGTCACACACACGGCCGCCAGCACCACCCCAACCGCCTCCCAGTCACACACACGGCCGCCAGCACCACCCCGACAGCCTCCCAGTCACACACATGGGCACCAGCGCCACCCCGACAGCCTCCCAGTCAGACACACGGGTGCCAGCACCACTCCGACCGCCTCCCAGTCACACACACGGGTGCCAGCACCACTCCGACCGCCTCCCAGTCACACACATGGGCACCAGCGCCACCCCGACAGCCTCCCAGTCACACACATGGGCACCAGCGCCACCCCCACAGCCTCCCAGTCACACACACGAGCGCCAGCGCCACCCCGACCGCCTCCCAGTCACACACACGGGCGCCAGCACCACCCCGACAGCCTCCCAGTCACACACACGGGCGCCAGCGCCACCCCGACAGCCTCCCAGTCACACACACGGGCGCCAGCGCCACCCCGACAGCCTCCCAGTCACACACACGGGCGCCAGCGCCACCCCGACAGCCTCCCAGTCACACACACGGGCGCCAGCACCACCCCGACAGCCTCTCAGTCACACACACGGGTGCCAGCACCACTCCGACAGCCTCCCAGTCACACACACGGGCGCCAGCACCACTCCGACAGCCTCCCAGTCACACACACGGGCGCCAGCGCCACCCCGACAGCCTCCCAGTCACACACACGGGCGCCAGCGCCACCCCGACAGCCTCCCAGTCACACACACGGGCGCCAGCGCCACTCCGACAGCCTCCCAGTCACACACACGGGCGCCAGCACCACCCCGACAGCCTCCCAGTCACACACACGGGCGCCAGCGCCACCCCGACCGCCTCCCAGTCACACACACGGGCGCCAGCTCCACCCCGACAGCCTCCCAGTCACACACACGGGCGCCAGCACCACCCCGACAGCCTCCCAGTCACACACACGGGCGCCAGCACCACCCCGACAGCCTCCCAGTCACACACACGGGCGCCAGCACTACCCCGACCGCCTCCCAGTCACACACACCGCCGCCAGCACCACCCCGACCGCCTCCCAGTCACACACACCGCCGCCAGCACCACCCCCGACCGCCTCCACAGGTGCCAGGCAGTGATGCGTCCCAGCGGTAGCGTGTTCGCCGCTCCTTGTAGAGGTTCGTGGTTCAACTCCGGCAGGCCATCTCGGTTATTACTGCAGATGGATTAACCGTAAAATACCGTTTGCTGTCTTAATTCGCATTGGACGTGAAAGAGGCCGTGGCATCATTCATGTCCTCCTGGACATCTGTGAGAAAAGAGCTTTGTAGCTCATCGGATTCCTCCAGTATACATAAATATTTGAGGAGGCCATTGTGTTCCGGTGTCATGAAAAATAACACCAGAAATTAATCAATTGGGATGACGAAACATCGCCCCTTCCCCCTTACTACTGTGAAAACTTGGAAAAGCCCTTCCGGCAAAGGCTTTCTTGGGCATGGCGGTGACGACACGGCTCCGCTCCCTCAGGTCGCCGGGGTTCGGGATCTCGCTCGTCGCCGAAACCACAGAGGGGTGTTTCCTGAGTGCGGAGTCAACCTCCACTCCGGGGGGAGAAGGCCCCCCCAGCATCCCGGAGGACCTGGGCGGGGACTGCGCCCGGCTGCTGCTGGAGGAGATCTACAGGGTGAGTGGCGGCGTTGCTCCTCCTGCGCATCACCCGGGGCTCCACAAACAGTGTGAGGTATCGCCGCGACAGTGACCTCGGTGAATGCCCCTGGCGCGGGTTCTCAGTCGTGGCTCGGCCTCGGGGTGGAGCTACTTGGCCGCTTCCAGAGGGGCGTGGGTGGCTCAGCCATGGCTCGGGCTCCGGCTCCTGCTCAGATACAGTCATACCTCGGTATATGACCGCTTTGGAATACGTCGAATTTGGTATACGTCGTGTTTTGACGAGAAAAAAATGTCTTGGGATACGATGTCTTGCTTGGGATACGACGTGCTTGCTAGAACTTGTATGGATCGGGATGAGTCACCGCGTACCCGCGTATACTCCGTTCCTCACCACCATCCTCGTAGGCTATCAACTCCTCTCAGCAAGGTAAAGTGATGTTAATTTTATTTATTTATGCATTTATTTTAATTTATGCATTTTAGTAATAAGTAGTGTCTAAATTATTTTATACACACCTCATTAATGTATAATATGCCATATAAAATATCGTTTCTTATACTCTGGAACGGATTATTTCCTTTGCCTTTATTTCTTATGGGAAAAATTCTTTGGTATACGTCATTTTCGGTATAAGTCCTACCTTCTGGAACAAATTAACGACATATACCGAGGTACCACTGTATTAGGAAACCACTGGAGCTACGCACTTTTGAATCTGATTAGTTTGTCGTCGTTCCCCCGCACCTCTGGTGAGCATGGTTGGCTACGTACGGTTCGAAATAAGTTCAGCATACTTAAGTACAGACAGCTCATGAGAAGCCTGAGTGTGCCTGGGACCAGGCTCAGAGCTGGCTCAGAGCTGGCTCAAGTGCATAGCTTTCAGCCAGCTCGCTTGAGCCAGAGCTGAGCCTGAGGTGAGCCTTGATGAAGAATGTGGATCTCAAGAACTGGTGTGACCCACCACCTCCACGGAGCCGTCGCTGAAGCCTTCGTCTCTGACTGAACAATCGCTGCTGCTGCCACACAGAGCAGACACGTGGCCTGAGATGCAATCCTGCTTCTGTTGCTGCACTCACGCAGGGTGCAGCACCGAGCTCCTGCCTCACTGCACTCCACAGAATTCACCGATTCACTCCAGTCACTCACTCACCGGTGGCCGCTCGCCCCATCGCGACTACCATGGTTGCCGTTCCCTTATCCTTCACCCATTGATTCCTCCACCTGTCTTGAGAACTCGGTCTATCAGATACTGTTTTATCTCATCCACACACGACAGCTCACAACAACAACACTCACCCATCTTCTTGGTTCTTTCGGTAAAGTCACGTAGAAGGGAAGTAATAAAATAATAAAAATAAAACATAATCTTATCGACAGACATGTTCTTCACCTGAGGACGGCTGCTTGCATTGTGGCCGAAACGTCGTGAGAATTATTTTATTATGTTTTATTTTTATTATTTTATTACTTCCCTTCTACGTGACTTTACCGAAAGAACCAAGAAGATGAATCCCTGCAGTCACGAAAGCTTTAAATTGAAATTTAACACTCACCCACTTGCCCTCTCACCACACTGCAGGTTACAACAACAAAGACAAAAATCCCCCGTATAGCCTTGACATACTGTTGGGGCAAGGGCGGTATAAGCGAGCACCTATGAAGGGGGTGGGTGGCCAGCTCCACGCCCGGCTGCCTTTGTCTCGCGAGTGGCGATGTTTACACACACTGAACCAGGTACTCATTTGATGCCGTGTCGACCTAGAAGAGGCCCAGGACTGGTTCAGATAATCGCCACTGTTGGCCGTAAGTGCGCTAACTGCGACATCACCCACTCACTCGCCACACTAAAGTTCAGCTGATTTCTCTTTCTCCTGCTTCCCTCTCACTGCTCCACTCGGAAATTCCCTCTGCCATAATCACAATCATCGTCTCTTTCCCCCCCTCCTTCCCCCATGATAACCTTGCTCAGTAGAAGAAACGCGTTAACTCTTCGTAATTATAACTTTGAAAAGTTCTCAACGCATTTCTCAATAACACCGTGGGGGGGCCTTGAAAGAAAAAATTATAATCGGCGACGTTTTGAGCAATGGCTCTTCTTCATAGCACACAGAGAGGCGGGGGGGGGGTAGAGAGGTGATGGCGCATGGGTGATAAGAGTCGGAGACTGCACGAGTTTATGCCCGGGGGGGCCCTGTTGAAAAATGTATTTTTAAAATGTTATGGGATCCCAGTTATATAAGGCGCCACTGGCAATGCCACATCAACAAATTCACGTATTGGTGGTGAACTGGCGGTGCACTGGCGGTGCTCGGTATAAAAAAATTAAATACAAATTTTCGGAAAAAAATATTTTCTTTCCCGTGATTCGTAACCCCGGTCAGATAATCCTGCGGGGTGGTGCATCAAAATCAGTTCCCACAATGTCGAGTCAGTCGGAAGACAAACGTTACGTGAGCGGCTGAACACAAAGCTTCACAGTCTGTTGCCATATAGCAGCATCCAGCCTGATAACGATTGGCTGCTCCGTGCTCCATAGGCAGATTTGACTCCTCGTGCCCTGACTTGGTCGGACGGTTCCTCGATTTTAACAGACCCAAATCACTGGTAAATTGATAACAGATTTGCTGATTAAAATTTAGATTTCAGACTGTTTTATGAGGACTGGTGTGTTATGCTGCAACGGTGTACTGCCAATACCTCCCAATACACTTTGTGATCAACGTTGGTATTGCTGGGTGGCGCTTACCGTTTTACATTTTGTGGCTTTTGGGTCCTGGCTTGGCATCTGTGTTTTGAAAAAAAGAATGCCCCTTGGTGTGAGGAGACCACGATGAATGTTGTTGCCTGGGAGAGGGAGCATAAAGCATCATCGCACAAACTCCGGACATCCTCCCGGCAACAGCGGCTTTAGGCTGGCCTTCGATCAAAGACGGTCGCCGCCATCGCTCGCATTTGGATGCACTTCAGCGGCCGTCTGGAACACTCTTCCGATATTAGGAAGTCGCAGGAGCTATGCACTTTTCTTTTATTGAGGCAATGCGCGGGCCCATTAGATTGCATTGTGATGAACATACACACGGTCAACAAACTAAACCGGTTATAAAAAGCAGGGGAAAGAAAGATGGGAAACGAACCCACTGCCTCAAGGAGCTATGCACTTTTAATCATCTAGATTGCAAACTTATTTTGAACTGCTTTTTGTGTTTAGTTTGTTGTCCTTCCCCCATGCACCTCCGATGACCACGGTTGGCTACGTACGACGAGAAAGAAGTTCAACATATACATGCGCACTTACAACTTGACGACGATCTTTAACGTGACGATGTGGCTGTGTCGTGTTTAGGGCGGGTGTGTGGACTCGACCAATCAGAGTCTGGCGCTCCTATTCATGGCCCTGGGCCAGCAGGATGTGTCAAAGCTCCTTCTGGGCCCTCTTTCTCCACACACGTGAGTGTGCACACACAAATCAGAATATTTCTACTGGAGGAATCCGGTGAGCTATAAATATATTTTTCACAGACATCTAGTATTCACAGATGTCCAACACGGAGATCCCCTCCACATGGCCTACACCAGGCTGGTGGAGGCCAGTCCTGGTTAAGCGAAGCGTGTGTTGCGCAGCCATGTCACAAAGGCGCCATTTTTCACAGACGGCTGTAAGTCTTCCAGTTGTGGGGCCATGTTGCTAAGTGCAATCCACGTTGAGTGCTTTGCTAAGCCGTTAGAATTCAAGTAGACCATTGCGTGTAGGCGTCGCGGTCAAAAGTTTGCCAAATTCGAAAAATGCCACCGAAATTGACTCAATCGAGATCACAAACACAGCAGCAGAAACATTGCCCCCGCCCCCAGGACCCTTCTGAAAAACAGCCTTGGGACTCCATGTGGCTTTCCTGGGTCAACAAGCTGGGTACACGATGGCCCATTCGTTTCGAATGACATCGCGGGATCTTTTTAACGTCCACCGCGAGCGAAGAGGATGGCTTGACGGAATAATTTTTATGGTCAATCTGTGAGACTATGACCGCAGTATTAACCAGGGCGGCCCAGCAGGTTTAGATCGCTAACCTCTGCAACGAGCGCGGAGAACACCCTCCCCCCCCCCTCCGAAACGGGTTGGTGCCGGCCGTTTAAAACCGCGCGCGTGCTGCGCCCCCATCTCTCCGTTCCCTTCCGGCAGAGTCGGGTTCCTCCGCCACCTGCGGGACTACTTCTCTGTCACGTTCAAGCTGGAGCCGCGCGCGGTCGAGGAGGGAGACAAGAAGGGAGGCGACAAGGTCCTGCTCACGTGCGTCGGCATAGGCTTCTCCAACCTCAGCAAGACGGTCTCTTAAAGAGCCTGAGCTGGCCTGAGCCAGCTTGCGCCAGAACTCTGTTGACTGTCAGATTAAATTCTCCAGGGCGGCTGGTTGGCAGCGCAGTGGTGACGTCCCTCACGGCAAGAAAGCGCGCCTGGGTTTTAGAATCAGAATATTTATTTATAGGAATCCAATGAGCTATGAAGCTCTTTTTCGCAATGTCCAGTAAGGGCAAGTCAGAACGTTACATTAACAAACAAAACAGAAACACGATAGGAGTGCAAAGTATTAGAAAGGTAAGCAAAATCACAAAAAAATCTACAAAATTGAACCATTTTTATTTTATCAGGTAAGTCCTACTGAGTTTTTAGCGTTTCAAAAGTGATAGCTCAACGAAGTGACTTATGTGAGAACTTATAGCAGCCAAATCATCTAAATCTAAACGCGTGTTTCTAAATGTGGACGGAAAAACCAGAGGACCCGGAGAAAAAATCCACGTGACCACGGGGAGAAAGAGGCACGCAAACTCCAAATATATAGCAGCAGGCATCAGGGTGGGGATCGAACCCCCAACCTGCATACCAGACAAGGAAGATAACATCATGCCACCGTGCTGCCCATTAAATAAAAAATTAAGTATATAAGTACAAATGTCATGTACATCAGTTTCCAAGCTTGGGAAAGGCTGCAAAATTACAAAATGAGTCCCAGACCACACCAAGACAGCACGCAGCCCCTCAATACAATTTAACATTCAAATGTAACTATCAATACGTGGCTAAGGATCAAAGTTATAAATCACATTGGCAAATATGGCTGTATCCAGCACTAATCTTTTGCTTCAGAATATTTGTTTAAGATTTCTGATGTGAAGGGAGCAAACAAGGTTGTTCCAAAACGTTGTGCTGCAACTTCAAAGGCTTTGTCACGTATTCCAATTCTTATTCTTGGGATAGATAAAAGGAATTAGATGGACGTCTTGGATTTGACAATGGAGTTAATGAATTAGCTCAGCAGAGCACAGATTTGTCAATTAGGATTTATTGGATTAACAGGGTCCAACGTAGGTTTATTTTTGCATCAAGTGATGTTGAGATTGGATTTTAAGTACAGATCACAATGGTGGGTTCTGTATGGTACATCCAGTGCAAATCGAAAGAACGATGAAGTGGGTTTAGTCTGTTTCGTCATTCATTAGCTGATCTGTACGCAATGTCAGCAGTCAAAACTCCACGCCTTTTTGTATGGAGCTTGTGTATTCTCCCCGTTCTGTGTGGGTTTCCTCCCAAAGCAATTTTTTACTGGCATTGGCCAAACATCCCAATGCTAAAAAATACTTGAAAATTACTCTTTTGGGATCACACACAACAGCAGCATTACCAATTTATTGCCAACACTTGGCAGCACCTTCCTGAAAAATGATCTTGAGACTCGGTGAATCAAAATGTACCTCGGGCTCCCAGCATGCGCGTCCAGCCCCGTGTGTGTGAATGTGTGAGGGGTGCTGTCAGAATTGTCAAGGTTGCGCATGATGTGTTTACGCATGATGTGTTTACGCATTTTTCTTACACCCAAAAGCCACACTGGTAGCGTCGAACTTCAGCATCGTTGATTGAACACGAGCAACACTGGGCTAGTTTTGACATTTGGTGTTTCATTAGTAGCCAGGTTTGCTTGAGCCATTGTTTTAATAAAAGCAAATACCTGGACTGGTTTAGACATTTAGTGTCTCGTCAACAGGTCAGGCTCGTGTAAAACAATTAGGGTGAACTGCCAGAAGTTTATAGGCAAAGACCGTCTCTGTGGGGTATGGGTGCTAGTCTGACACAAAGTGCAACTGCATAATTATGTAATGCATAACAAGATAATATCGGCGTCGCTGTGGAGAAGATGAATAACGCCACGGGCAGAGGGGAGACGCCACCCCCTCATCTGCGCGGTCTTCCTTCGCGAGGGTCCAACAGCAGCAGTTGGGGCGCCGTGCTGCCCCTTCGACTCGCGGAGCGAGCGTTGTAATAAAGCTGTTTGCTTTCTTACACTTGCTTGGTGTTTGTTGGTACCGGCTGTAAATGTGGTTGGTGGTGGTTGTATGGGAAGCGGTAGTGTAGTGGTTCGCGCTGCGCTACGAACCTGGCGACCAGAGTTCGATTCCAGCTATTTATTGTAGATCTCAACCGGTCCTGGGCCGAGTACCGAGTGTGATGTGTTACCATTGGTTATGGTGGTGATGGTTGTGGTGATGATGATGATGATGGAGTCTGTGCATGTTAGGCCAGACGAGGATGCCCGCACCCTTCCCTGTCTTGTTCAACTGCCGCGCTGGGAGGGGGGATCGAACGTCCACTCTCAAGTCCATTGCGCTGTCAGCATTCCACCACTGGCAGCTCCCTTCATATAATATTTATTTTATTTTTTCTATATATAAGGGAAATTTGTGAATGTGTCTGTTCGAAATGTTTAGCATACTTCTCGACATGCAACAAACTTGAAATTTGGCATGTGTGGAGTATCCAGACTGTACACAATGCAAAAAGTATAAAAAATGACTTTTGCATTTTGGGGGGGGGGGCGCAATAATGGATATATTTTGCACGGCAAGTGAGCGGTGACGTCCCATCTGTGATGTCACCCGCATGCAGCAGCGTTACGCAATGTGCCTGCTGACGTCATCCCCCCCCCACCCTCCGCGTCGGCCGTGTATTAATCCAAGACAAGAATCCAAGTCTCGGGCGAAGCCGGGTAGTAAAGCTAGTTTATGAATAAATAAATAAATAAATACATTTCCTTCGTTATGTCTTGCTATATATGTGTATGCAGCAACTATATATCTATGAAGAAAAATATCTCTAAATATATTTGCAATATAAAGTTCGTGAGAAAAACCGATAACCGGTTTTTTAATCGGTTACCGGAAATGGAAGAGGCGACCCCAGGGGAGGAGCCAGGCTCGTCACCACGTGCCACGACCGCGCATCACGTGACGGCGAGCAATGGCGGCGCCCATAAGCTACCACGCTGAGCAGAACGAAGGGTGAGAGGCAGAGACACTCGCAGAGGCACACTCAGACTCTCACACTCGCAGACACTCGCATTCATAGAGACAACTCGGACTCGTAGAGACACACTGAGACACAAAAAAACAAAGACCCCCGTATAGCCTTAACAGACTGTAGGGGCAAGTTCTGTTAGCGAGTACCTATGAAGGCCGGAAAAGTACACGAGGGGGTGGGTGGCCAGCACCACGCCCGACCGCCTTTGTCTCCCCAGTGGCGATGTTTACACACCACACCAGGTACTCATTTGAGGCTGAGTCGACCTAGGGGAGGCCCAGGACCGGTTCAGATAATCGTCACTGGTGTTGACCATGAGCGGGAATCAAACCCGGGTCGCCAGGCTCATAGCGCAGCGCGCTAACCGCTACACTACCACTCCCACACACTGAGAACCATTCGTAGAGACACGCACATCGATCCACTCACACTCATAGATCCACCGTCTCTCGTAAAGACAAAAAATCCGCGTATAGCATAATCTGACTGTTGGGGCAAGTGCTGTTAGCGAGCACTTTTGAAGACCGGCACGGTCCACGAGGTGGGTGGGAATCGAACCCGGATCGACAGTTTCGTATCGCAGCGCGTTAACCGCTGCACTACCGCTCCCCATAGACTCACACCCATTGAGACACCGTCTCTCGTGGAGAAACTCATAAAGACACGCTGACTCGTAGAGACATTGTGGTGGAGAAACACACTCATAGACACTCAGAGAGAGAGTACTCAGAGACAGTAAGATCCCCCGCATAAACTTAACAGACTGTTGGGGCGAGTGCTGTTAGCGAGCACCTATAAAGGCCAACACGGTACACGAGGCGTTGGCTGCCCAGCACCACGCCCGACCGCCTTTGTCTCCCCAGTGGCGATTAGTTTACACGCCGCACCAGATACTCGTTTTGAGTCTGAGTCGACCTAGGGGCGGCCCAGAACCGGCTCTGGACCGACTCAGATACTCGTCACTGGTGTTGGCCGTGAGCTGGAATCGAACTCGGGTCGCTGCACCCCACATTAACACGCACCCATCGAGACGCACTGGTTCTTATGCCCTTGCGCTTGTAATTTTTTGTTGACCCAGGTCTGTTTTGCCAGATGAGAGTTCTCACCTGGTAAACTCGGTGTGTGTCTGTGGTGTGTGTCTGTGGTGTGTGTCTGCGGTGTGTGTCTGCGGTGTGTGTCTGTGGTGTGTGCTCTTGGGCAGCTGTGAGGTTTGCGCAGAGGCCCTCGCCAAGTACCGCTGCCCGTGCTGCTTGCTGCGCTCCTGCAGGTGAGAGTGGCGCCGCGACGCCGGTGCCCTCGTAGGAGGAGCCCGATGGAGGGGCCAGCTGCCCTCGTGAACCCATTCGCGGCCACGTGTGTGGCAGAGGAGGTTGGGAGCGGTAACTTCGCGGTTAGCGAGCAACGCTACGAACCCGGCGACCTGAGTTCGATTCCCGCTCATGGCCAACACCAGTGACGATTATCTGTATATGTATTGGTCCTGGGCCTCCCGGGCCTCCCTTCGGTCGACTCAGCCTCAAATTAGTCCTTGGCGCGGTGTGTAAAAACATCACCACTGGGGAGACAAAGGCAGCCGGGCATGGTGCTGGCCACCCACCCCCTTGTGTGCCGTTCCGGCATTCATGCTCGCTAACAGCACTTACAATCTACACCATCTGAAACCTCATTCGCCAGTAAAAAATATGATAATTGTTATTTTACCCTTTTATCTGGCAACAAAACTGACACCTTTTTTTACAAGGAATCATGTTTGCATAGACCACAATACCTGCAGTCATAATGCAAACAAAAAACATAACTCTGATAATGTATGCACTGTCCTTAAAGTTGATTGGTCCACACCCGAGACAGCTTTCCTTGGAGCCTCGTCTCACATGGTGTTGGACCACATGACGCCAAACGGCGCACAACTCAAAGACAATGCACCATCAGAGTATGAGAGCTCGGGGTAAGCATTTACACCATTGGAACCTCATTTGCCATTAAAAAATATGATAATTGTTTTTTTACCCTTTTATCTGGCAACAAAAAATGGTAAAAAAACAATTATCACTTTCAATCTGTTAAAGTTTATACGGAGGATCTTTGTCTTTGTATGTCTTTCCCTCCTATTCCGCCACATCCATTCACACGGTGTCTTTCTGGCGCTCGCCCTTCATAAAATGCAGAGACCACAAGCTTGGCTAACAAATGCCTCTTTATTCACACCAACGCTCCTTTCCCTTTATTCACACCACCAACAACACCACAACTTCAGTTTCATTTATTAGGTACTAGCTTTACTACCCGGCTTCGCCCGGGACTTGGATTCACCACGCCTGGCCGCCTTTGTCTCCCCAGTGGCGATGTGCACACACCACACCAGTTGCTCGTTTGAGGCTGAGTCGACCTAGGGGAGGCCCAGGACCAGTTCGAATAATCGTCACCAGTGGTGGCCATGAGCGGGAATCGAACTCGGGTCGTCGGGTTCGTAGCGCAGCGCGCTAACCACTACACTACCACTCCCCCCACACACACACACGCGTCCATAGGTATACATACACACGCTTGCTGCAGACACACGCAACTTTCAGGGTGCGTACGGCAGTAAACGCAAAAAAAAACTAATGCTGGGCGCAGAACGCCTTAGACCTGCAACACATTTGTATGGCACTTTACTCGCGGAGGGTTGGGGGGGGAATGCGTGACATCAGCAAGCACACTGCGTAACGCTTCCGCATGTGAGCGGCATGACAGAGATGTGACGTCACAGCTCACTTGCCGTGCAAAATATATCCATTATTGCCGCCGCCCCTTCCCCCCCCCCCCCCCCAAAAAAAAAGAAAAGTATATTTCTATAATTTTTGCATGGTGTACAGTCTGGAAAGTACCCACATGCCAAATTTCAAGTTTGTTCCATGTCGGGAAGTATGCTAAACATTTTGAACAGACACATTCACAAATTTCCTTTTTATATATATAGATAACCCTGTGAGCCACGCGGCTCTTGACCCGGGTGCAACCGCAACAAACAATAACATGAACAAGAAACATCTTAAAGTGACTACACGCAACAGAAAAATCCAGGAAAAAACAGCAAAAGTCTTCCAGAAAAAACACCGTATTTCAACGCTGTGTGCAAAAATCCCAGTGGGATGCAAGTCAAACAATAACCATAAGACAATTTAGATTAAAGTTATCAGGCTAACTCTTTACTACAACAAACAAACATGGTTAAACCAAAACGTTTTCAAAATCAGCAAAATAAAGCTATAAAAACAATGTAACAGTGATCATAGGAACTGATTCAAATTTATCAAATAAACGATATACATAACATGTACGACCAAACTTTGAAGCCATAGCTGGCTGCATGAGTCACTCCATAACAGCAGGAGTATCAGTAGCAGTATCAAAAAATGTCAACACACCTTTACAGATCAGTACACTATAATCAAAACTCAAAATCATACTTTGCAGCGGTCATCTGGAACGATACATTTGATTTCAGGCCATTCTGAATAGCAGTGGCAGCTAGGGTGTACAACTCCTCTAGAGCAGTTTTGAGTGAAGATCTCACAGGTAGTGATCCAAGTTGCAGTTTATTGGCGATAGCATTCCAGACCCCGTGGACATCAATATAAAGGGCCCTTCAGTATTTGTACAGCAATAAGGAATGTGCAGCTGGTAAATGAGCGAAGACCTTAGGTCACATTTGTTCTTCGAAACAGTGAGGAGATCCAGCAGGTAGTCTGCTGATTTTTTTGTAAGTACATCATGACTAAATAAGATCTGATGCGCAAGCCGTTGATCATTAAGAGAAGTTAATCCAATGTAGAGATCGCAGTGGTGGGTCCTATATGGGCAGTTCAATGCAAATCTTAAGGCCAAGTGATAAATTGAGCCAAGCTTCTTCAGTATAGTACTTGGGGCTGATTTATATACGACTAGCGGTTAGTACCCGGCGTTGCCCGGGCGAAAAAGGCAGACACATGTAGTTACACGCACAAATGGACTCACACATACATAGACTGAACAACAACAACCGCCATTCGCCACTAAGTGGCGGTGATGTCACAACAACGCTTGTGCCAGGCTATGTGCACCTTGAGGCCACGTGAAGTGTCGAACGCCCGCTGGAAAGAGGTCACTGGGCAAACCCAGATGGCACAGGTCGACTGACTGAGACGACTGGCTGATGCACCACCTGTGGCCCCTACTGTGGCAACTTTCTGTGCTTTAGCCACCCGGCGCTCCGCTCATTGTTGTGAGCGTCGCTCCTCCGCCCTCCGTTGTTGTTGGAGGGTGACTGCCTCCAACTGGCCAGTAGCGTCCTTCAGGAGCCTGCTCCACAGTGGCCGATCTTGACACGGCTGGTACCAGTCATCCGCAAGTGGTCTCAGCTCCAAGTCCTCCTGTAGCACATCACTCCATGTCTTCTCCAGCCCGTACCGCGCCCGTTTAGCCCCCTCGATCCGGCGGAACAAAAGCTGTTTAGGCATGCGGTGGCTGGCCATGCAGGCTACATGACTCAGGCAATGCAGCCTTGCCTGCCGGAGGTCACCGATGGGACTTTGTCCACATCTTTCAAGGATTTGTGAGCTCCTCACACAATGCAGCCTGGTTAAACCCAGGATGGACCGTAGGCAGGCCAGCCTAAATGTTTCTAACCGGCGAAGGGGGGTCCAAGTTTTGCAAGCGTAGAGAAGGGAGGGAATGACCGTGGCCGAGAAGACTTGAAGCTTCGTGCGGAGTAAAAGAGCAGGTAGCTTCCACACAGCGTTACGCAGCCAATGAAAAGATACTGCAGCTCGACTGATTCGGAGTGAGTCCTCTGCTGTTAAACCGGAGCCGGTCATTAGCACAATGCCCAGGGAAACTCTCCACTGTCTCCACAACTGCCCCATCACCAATTGGGAGTTGTGGGGGTGGAGTGTCCGATGGTTCAAAATAGCCAGGCAGGTGCTTAGCTTTGGTTGGGCTGATGGTAAGGCCCCACCTGCTGGTGGCAAGCTCCAGGTTCAGCAGCAGCACCTCGAACTCCTCCTCCGAGTGAGCAACCATTAGCATATCATCGGCATACGTAACGTGGTTGAACAACAGGGAGCCATCCCTTGACCGCACCCGGGCATCGATCAGCCTCCCATTGTATCTGTAGCAGATGGGAATTCTTCCGGTACAGGCATTGAAGGTTCGACGAACTACGTGGTCCAATGTGGGAGCCAGAGGACATCCCTGTTGCACCCCAAGGTGTACAGGGAATGGCTCTGACTAACGGCCACGTAGTTAAGACGCGGGGCCGCTCACCATCATGAAGGTCCTTAAGGATGGTGATGAGTGGGTTCGGGACTCGGAAAGCACGAAGAGCAACCCAGAGGCCAGGCCTACTGATGGTATCATAGGCCTTGAGCAGGTCAATAAAGCACACACATGGACTAAGATGCACACATGGACCTACAGACACGCAAATAAATGGAGTTACACTGACTAACATGGAGGCATGCACACACAGCGACTAACACACACGCACATGGACTGAGACACACAAACACACATGCACTGACACACACAAACACATCGACTTACAGACACACACACTTATGGACTCACACACACATAGACATGCACTTGAGAAACGCACACATGGAGTTACACACACATATTGACGTACACACATACAGCGACACACACACATACATAGAGTGACACACACATTGCCGTACACACACATACACATGTGGACTGTCACACAGACATCCACTTGAGATATACACACATGGAGTTGCACACACATATATGGACGTACACACATACAGCGACTCACACACACACACACCGACTCGCACACAGCGATACGTGGACTAAAACACACATTGATGTAAACACACATATGTACTTACACACACACATATGGACTAAGACACACACATGAACTTACACATACATAGACAGACACACACATAGCCCTACACACACATACACATATGGACTGTGACACACAGATATCTACTTTAGATACACAGACATGGATTAACACACATATGGACTCACACACAGACGCATTGACTTACACACACATTGAGTGACACACACATGTACACACATGTGGACTAACACACACACATATGGACTGACATACACATGGACATACACACACAGATCGACTGACACACACACATGGACTCACACACACACACACATCGACGGGCACAGCAATCCCCGATGATGGCACAGCTATCAGTATCGCAGTACTACGTATGAGTAAGTAGCGCGACGTGAGCGATGGAA